TCAAGAAAACAATCCCATTCACAATAGCCTCAAAAATACCTACTAATAAACTTAACTGAGGAGGTAAAGGTGTCTACAATGAAAAGTATAAAACATTGAAGAAAGAAATGAAAGATGACACTAGAAGATGGAAAGACCCCTCATGCTCATTTGGCAGAAGCAATATTGTGAAAATGGCTGTACTACTGAATGCAGTCTACAGGTTCAATGCAATCTCCATCAAGATTCCAACAGCGGCATGTTGGATATGACTGAAGTACTTTACATGCATGTATGAAAATATACTAATGAACCCTGTTAAAAAGTGTAAAAAATATAAAGGAGTCTGGAGGGGAATAAGAATAAAAAGGTAATAGAAAGGGTTAATTTGATCAAAGCACATTATATGTATGTATGGACATAACACAATGAACCTCCTTTAAGCAATTAATATTTGCTAATAAAAAAGGAAAAGATGTATCAATGATAAGCAAGCACATTAAAGATGCTCAGATCATGTCATTAGGAAATTACAAAGTTAGTTCACAAACCTACACTAGTGAATTGCAACTTAAAAAGAGGCATTTATTTATTATTTACAATCTGTAGTGGTATAGATACTGCTGGACACCTATTAAAATGCCAAAATCCAAAATGCTAACAACTGTAAATACCGGCAAAGATGTGGAGCAGCAGGGACTCCTGCTCATTGCTGTTGGGAGTGCAAAACGGTGCAGCTAGCAGTGTTTAAAAATGAATTATAAATCATGACCAAGTGGAATTTATTCCAGGTATGCAAGGCCAGCTCAGTATTTAAGATAAATTAATGTAATTCATCACATCATATGGGATGAGGGCCTACCATGATTTGATTATGTCTGTAAGAACTCTGTGTCAAGCTAAGGTCACACTCTGAGGAATCAGGGTTGGGATTTCAACATATCCTTTGAGGGAATCCAATTCAACCTATGGCAGCTCCCTGTTGTTATGTCCCAAAACATACTCGTGGGTTCTGGGGATTAGGACGTAGGCATCTTTGGAGGTAATTATTCTACCCACATAGTGAGCACAGTTAATTTAAGTCTGTGTCTGATAATTCCAATATCTGTTTATATGTTTTGTTGTTTCTGCGGGTTCCCATTCATGGTATCTTGTTCAGTATATCTATTTCTCTTTGTGAACTTGACATTGTATTAGAAAAAACATACCTTGTAGAAGTAATTTGAGGCCCAGGATTTGTTATCTTTCTTCAAAGAGGATTTTTCTTCTGACAGGTATCGAGGTGTTAATAATTCAGGACCTCCTTAATTTAACTTCAGTAATTTGCATTTTCTAGGCCATCCACTGCCTGATAAGGAGGGTTATACTCTGTTAGAAGGCTGCTTTACTTCTGCTCTATCTCTAGTAGCTCTGATACTCACCTTTGGCAGTCTCTATCCCTATGTTTTTATCTTTGGAACCAGAAACCATGTTCACCCTCTCAGAAGTCTATTCTGAAACTGCAAGACACAGTATTAAATGCTAGACTCACATCTCTGGATTTCTTTCTTCTTAGGTCTTGGCTCAGGAATTTAATTTTTCTATGTCATTTATGTCTTTCAATGACTTTTGGAAAAGATGGTGGCGATCTTTATTTTTTTTTCCTGATTACTTTTCACAAGTCTTAACTGTCCTGCTATTGCTAGAAGTCTATTATCTTTTGAAAAGATAGACTAATATTTATGCAACTTAAGATTTATAAAAAATGGATTCACATGGTACAGAGAATTCTATCTACCCACACTGGCATCTCACCATGGCACTGTTTCCTTATTATTAGCAACTTGCAGTAGTATGATACAAGTTAGAATTAATGAACCAATACTGATACATTGTTGTTAAAGTCCATAGTTTACATGAGGCTTCCTTCGGTGCTCTGCATTCTATGAGTTTGACCAATGTAGAATGATCACCTGTAACATAGGGAGTAGTTTTCACACCCTAAAAATCCCTTATGTTCTGCCTACTGGACACTCCCTCTCCCCTAGCTCCTGGAACCCTCTGATCCTGTTCTTGTATCCATAGTTTTCCTTTTCCTGAGTGTCACATGATTGGAAAAGCATATAGTGTCTGGGCATGTATTTCTTTGAGTTTATTCTTAATTGGAATCTGTAATTTATGTCTTTTGCCAAAATTAGATTTTCAGTCATTATTTCTTCAAATATTTTTTCAATACCACATTTTTCTTCTTCTCTTTCTGGGACTCTGATGATACATATATGATATTCTTTGATACTGTCTCACAGGTTCCTAGAACTCTGTTTACTTTTTCTTTCTGTTCTCAGACTATGTATTTTCTATTCTGTCTTCAGGTTCACTTACTCTTTCCTCTGTCATCTCCATTTTGTTCTTAGGACCATTCAGTGAATTTTTAATTTAGCTATTATATTTTTCAGTTCTAAAGTTTCTGTTTGTTTCTTCATTGTACTTTCTATTTTCTGAGACAGGCTTTCTTTCTGGATATTTCTGTCAGTATTTGCTGTTGCTTCCTGGAGCATGGCTGTAACAGAAGTTTGAAGTCTGATAATTCCAACATCTGGGTCATGTTAGACTCAGCATCTCTTGATTCTCTCTCCTGATGATCAGTCAGACTTCCTGGTTCTTTGTGTGTCAAGTAATTTTGGATTGTATCTCAGGCATTTTAAATATTGTGTTATGAGACTCTGGGTCTTGTCTAGCCCTTAGAGATTCTGATAATTTTTACTGTTTTACTTGATAGCATTCCTGGTTAGGGTCAAGCAGAGAATTCTCATTCCCCTTCTGTGGACTGTCCAGTTCTAAAGATTTCACAATGGAATTCGGATCTGCTGTGTGTGTGCTGTTCTGGGCCAGCCTGGGACCTGGGTGGTGCTCTGCTCTGCATTTACTCTGGCAGGCTGCCATAAGAACAAACCCACGGCTCAGGGACAAGTCCATGCAATTATCATAGCTTTATGGATTTCCTTTTCCAGCATGTTCTCCAGCTCAGTCCCCTTCCTGGTCCTCTGGCTAGAAAGCTGCAGTGTGAGGTCCACTCTGACCATGTGCCCTGGTGGCCTCTGAGGACACAGGGCTGGAAGACAGAGAAGGAGCAGTGGGTTCTCCATAGTCTGTCAGAATTCCCCTCTTAAGAGTTTTAGGTGCCTCCCCAGTTGATGATGTTGTCACTAGATGGTAGCTTCAAAACTTGAACTTTTCTAGGGCAGGCCAGAGGAGGACAACAGGGCAACAGGGGACATCCCCTACTCTCTCTGTCCCCCCCCAAGAGACATCTTCTACTCCTTGGAACTCTGTCTGTCCATGCCCAGTACCATTTTTGGGATTTAGGCTTCCTTTGAATCCAGTCTGAGACAAAAAGGAGAAAACAAGCCTAAGAAACTCTGTGTTTGTTGTACTTCAGGTTTGATGCTTCTCCAAGCTTCTCGCTGGCTTTTTTGCTCAGAGTCTTCAGGAGGCCGCCCCATGAGTTCTAGGCTGTAGTCACCGGAGAAGCAGGGTGGGCTGTGTTTACTTCATTGAACCAGACTGGCAGGCTTCTATTATGCTATTTTTAATTGTTTTTATTATCGATTTATAAATATACTTTTAATATTCTGGATATAAGTCCTTTGCAGATACTGTCTTAGTCAGGGCTGCTATAACAAAAATGCCATAAGTTGGGTGCCTCATAAATTACAGAAATTTACTTCTTGTAGTTCTGGAGTTGGGAAGTCCAAGGTCAAGTGCCAGCAGACCCAGTGTCCTCCTGGATAACGCCTTCTCCCTATGTTCTCACATGGCAGGAAGCTGAGCTGGCTCTCGGGCCTTTTATAAGGGGACTAACCCCAATCTTGACTGTGACTCCTCATAGCTTAAATGCCTCCCGAAGGTTCCACCTTCTACGACTGTCACATTGGGATTTGGCTTAACACGTGGCTCTGGTGGGGACACAAGCATTCTGACCATGTGGACTGGAGTAGAGCTCAGGGATAGGGCACTTGCCTAGTATGTGCAAGGCCCTGGGTTTTATCCTAAGAACAAAACAGAAAACATTCAGGCCATAGCACATATACGTATTATAAATACTTTCTGCCAATCTGAGGCTTGCCTTTAATTTTTTTAATAGTGTCTTTGATGAAGTCTAATTTATCAACTTTTTCTACCATCCTTGATGATTTTGTGTCTTGTTAAATTTTTTTCTACCCCAAATTCAGGAGGACATTCGGCTTTGTTTCCTTCCAGAAGATCTATATTTTAGCTTTTATGTTTAGGTGTATTTTCCTGACCATGAAAATCTTCTTTAATTTATTTCTGGAATGTTTTATAGTTGTCAGCTTTCCTTTAATTTCTATTGTGTTTTTATGCTAGTCTAAGTAGAAGTTTTTAAAATTGTATTTAAAACTAGTCTTTGCTAGTAAGTGGAAATACAATAGTGTTCTTCCTTGATGATCTTTTATTTTCTTAAACTTATTTTTTATGTTGGATCATTCCAATCTCTTCTGCCTCTGTGTATCTGATTTTTTCTGGTGGCTCCTTTTCCTTAGGAGTTTTGTGATTTTTTTTTAACTGTGATTTCATGTTCAATAGTACTTTCATGATAGGAATTCTTTGAGGCCTTGGCTAAAAGTGAATTTCTCCAGAGATATTTTTTAATCTCTTCCAGGTAGCCAGGAGTACTGCCTTCCATTGGTGGTGCTGGGGATAGAACCCAGGGCCTCAGGCATGCTAGGCAAGCACTTTCTTGCTAAGCCACATCCCACTGGGATTACCTTTGCTAAAAACCTGCTTATCTACTTTTCTGTACCAGCTTGGCATTGGAACTAGAAACACAAGTCTGAACAAGACACACAACCTATGTTCTTGGCACTTGCAGTCTGGGAGGAAGAAAATAATGATTAGCCATCATCAAACCTTGTCTTCTGTCAGCCGCATTCATGTACATGATGCACACAGGCCTGCGATGACCTCGCAGTGTGCTCTTTCTTGTGGAGGACACTTAGGCTCTGGGGATGCAGGTAGCGAGCATGCTGAATGTGAGCACCCTGTGCTGGGCGTCTCCCTCCTGAGTGTGACTTGCTGTCATCTGCTCTCTCCTAGAGGCTATGTGCACCTGTATACTGCAGGTACCAGTTTGATAAGACTCCAGTTCACAAGACCAAGGGGGAGCCCCATGGGACACATGTATACTTCCAGGACATCAATGTCATCTTCCTTGGAGCCATGCACCTCAGTGACCTGAGGGAATACCTAGAGGGACCCCCCATGGTGGTGGAAGTCCATGACCGGGACCGCAAATCAGAAGAGTATTTCCGTAAGCCCACCCCATTTGGGGAGGACCCCCTGGATCCATACTTTAACCTCCAGGCCCTCATCTCTCTCAAAGAAACAGAGGAGAACCCCTTTGAGTCCCAGAACAAGACTTGGGACCCCTATGGGGTTGCCCGGGTCAGTTTTGCTGACCTCCTCCTTGGCCACAAGTACTTGAATCTGGCTGTCCCCATCCACAGCTGTGAGCCCAACTCTGCACGCCACAGCCAGGACACCAGGAACAAGAAGGCTGTGGGATTTCAGGACCCTACAGATGTCCTACAGCTCAGCCCAATGCCCATGGGCAACTATCTGGAGGCTAACTCTCAGCTCAAGCTGAGAGTGGACATTGCGGTGCCCCTCGGTGCTGGGGCCAAATCCCCTGATATAGACCTCGTGGGTACCCAGTTTGGCCGCATAATTTTTGTGTTTGATTCCAAGAAGCTGTTCCTCCTACGTAGCCTGCTGCAGGACATCACTAGAATCAATGCAAAGGCCTTGGAACTGGATTCCTACCCCACCAAGAACATCCAACAGATCCTGTCAGCCTTCAAGATGAGGGTGAAGATTCAGGACCAGGAGGACCTGGACGTGCTCACTGGCTTCCACCTGGTGGATGGGAAGATCCACCTCTTCATTCTGGAAGGCTTGGCAGACCAAGGCTCGAGGCAGCTGTGGGAAAGTCACCAGAGCAGGTGAGTAGATGACATGACATTCTGGATATGGAGGGAGTGGAATAGTCTTTCAAAGCCAAGGTGAGGAGGGTCAGTGTCCTGGTCTTTGAGAGGGAGATACTGATTCAGTTCCCCTCAGGGTTTATTGTCAGCTACTCATCAAAGGTCAGTAATGGGACTTGAGAACAGGCACAATTTTTGCCTTTGGTGGAGGTGAAGTATTTAGGGGCACACAGAAGACCTGGTGGTCCAAAAAATGAATCCTCCCCTAAGACTTTGGAGTGAAGGCTATGCTGGCTGCCCAGGAGCAGAATGTTCTGTATTAGGTTTTAGTTCAACCCAAGGAAGACCAATCTGACTGAACCTGGTGGGGATATAGCTGCAGGAATTTGCTCTTCTCTGGAGGCCTCTGGGACACTGAGATGCCCACTCGGAGGACACAATAGAGGGTCTGATTCTGGGCTGGAGCAGCTGGCATTTCATAGTTCTATCCCTTAGTTTTGTTGACATGACAATTGTCTTCCTTTCATAATTTTCAAGTATCCTTGTTTGAGTAAATAGGGTCTTATTCTTTAGTGGGAGGGCCTCCATCTGTCCTCAGAGTTCACATGCCCCAAACTCCATATGCTGACAGCAAGGAGTCCAGAAGCTTAGTGTGTCTACCTCGAGAGGGGCTGCAACATTGTGGGGGTCTGTCCTGATGTACTGATAAGCCAAGAGACCCAGAGACAAGCTGGCCCATGTCAAGGCAATGTACGGAATGACCAAAAACACACATCCATATAAACATGTGTACATAAATGTCCACAGTAGCGTTATACATAATCATCAAAAAAAGTAGAACTGACCCAGTCCCCATCTGATTGCAGCATGTGGTATATCCATACAACAGAGTATTATTCAGTGAAAAAAGAACTGAAGTACTGATACACTTACTTCAGCATGTACAAACCTTGAACACATTATGCTAACTAAAAGAAGCCATCTGTTAAACTGTTACTAGAATCTGAGATCCATATTGCTCCCCACTCTACCAAAAACCCAGGAGATAGAAGCTGGTGGAAGGAAACAGGTTTATTCTAGGCTGGCCCTGAGGTCGATGGAGGAGACCTCTTCCTCTCAAACCTCCATCTTTAAGAGCTCAGGAAATGCAGAGTGCAAAGGGACACAAGAGGTTACAATGAGACAATTGGCAGGAAACCATGTGCGGGTGGAGTCTTTCTCTTCAGAGCACCTTCTCCTTCCCCTCTTCCTGAAATTGTCTGGATCTCAGGCCTTCTGTGTGTCTGCATTTTCTTTTTAGAAAAACCAGTTCATATGAACACGAGGAAAGAATGGGTCACTAAAATGGTAGGGGAAAGACTGGGAGGGAAATGCAACTAAGGTCCCCAGTTCATCACCTCACACCCCAGTTTTCCTCCTCCAAAATAATAAACTTAGTGAGTTTGTTGCTCTGGACACTTTTCTATAGTTTAACATTCATAGTATAAATATGGCTTCTGCCTGCACTGTTACAGTATGATTCCATTTATAAGAAATGTCCAGACTAGGCAAATCCATAGAGACAGAAGTAGATCAGTAGTTGCCAAGGACTCAAGGGAGGGAAAATGATGGGTCATGGGTACAGTTTCTTCTTGGAGTGATGAACGTGGTCTAGATAGTGCTTATAGTTGCACAACATGGTGAATATACTAAGAAAGACTCCATTGTGCACTTTAAAAGATTGAATTTTATGGTGTGCAGTAAGGAGTTTGGCCTTGTCCAGAACAGGTCTGGCTTATGCTTATGTGATCTATGTCACACCTGAAGGCTGGCTGTGGCAGAAATCCCAGCAGTATGATTAAGGTGGGGGCTTTGGGTCATGCAGTGTCAGTTGATCTAGACACTGGTTCAGCAACTTGGACAGTCAGTCACCCAACCAGCCATGTCCATGGAGTGGAGCACAGTAAGAACTACAGCCTTAAGACTTGGGTGAACATCCCTGTGTGGCAGTGTTCTTGAATGTTGTCCCCCATCAATGCCAACATGGCAGCATCTCCTGACTCCATGAGGAAAGGGCAGCAGAGGCATCTGGTATTTGGAGCCATCCCTGACTTAGCCTTGGCTGATTTTAATCTATAACCTTTCCCTGTAATAAACCTTAACTGTGAGGATAACAGCTTTAATGAACTCTGATTCCTTTTAGTGAATTAAACTTGAGGGTGGTCTTAGGAACCTCCTGAACTTGAAGTTAATGTTAGAAGAAAGGGTAGTCTTGGGGGGGCTGTGCTTTTAGTTTGCAGTTTGACTAACTCTGAGCATATAATATATGAATGCTATCCAGAAGCTTTTCAGTGGCAAGAATAATATGATATATATATATATACATACATGTGGGCTGGAGTTATATATAGGAAGTATGAGGTCCTTGTTTGACATCCAGCACTACCACAAACAACTAAAAAATTCATATGCTTGGAAATTAATAAACATATTTCCAAATAATGTGTGGGCCCAAAAGAAATCACAATGGAAAGAGACATTTTAAAATTGAACAATAGTAAAAATCTATAATATCTATCTGTGGCATGGTGTAAAAATATTACTTAGAGGCTCAAAATGGAGGTAAAACCTCTTCCTGGGCATCTCCAATCTGACTCTGGCCAGCATCCTAAAGAGTTATTTTTCAAAGGAAAAGTTTTACATGTAGTCTGATTTCATGGTTTTCTTATCTTATGGGTCATTTTGATGTCAAGTTTAAGAAGTCTGAGTATCCCTCCTATGTGCTCTTCTAAAAGTGCTAGTTTTATGGTTGACATTTAAATGTATGATCTAGCTTCAATTAATTGGTATAAAAAGTTTGAGTTTGGTCCTTTTTTTTGGCATATAGACATCCAAATGCTCTGGCAACATTTTTTGGAAATTCCTCCTCCTCTTCCTCCTTCTCCTCTTTCTTCTTCTTCTTTGTCTTCTTTTTTTGTGTGTGTGTATTCCTTGGGATTTTCTTCACAGACCATGATGTCATGTACAACTAGGGATGATTAAATTTCTCCCTCTCTAGTCTGTAGGCTTTTACTTCCTTGTTGTGCTGGCTAAGACTTGCAATACTATTTTCTATAAGTGGTGAGAGCTGATGTTCTTGACTTGTTTTGATTATTCCCTACCACATGTGACCTCAGTGGAAAGGTTTTGTAGATGGTGCTTTATCAGTTTGAGAGACTTCACTCTGTTTCTGATTTGCTGAGAGCTTTCTAATAAGCTGGCTCACAGAATTCATGAATATCAATTCCAGGTAGACCAAAACTCTGCTTTTAAACGTTGAACTTTGGTAGTTATACACTCACATGTTGCAAAAATAATAGATTTCATGTCCCCATTACCCAGCTCCCCCAATGGTGACATCTTCTATAACTACAGTGCTTCATTGATTGACACAGTGCAACTAACTAGACTACAATGATCTAAACTTACTCAAATTTCACCAGAAAAACCTATTTTTGAAAAGCAAAACTAAAACTTTTAGATGAAAATATAGGAGAATATATTTATGACAGCAGAATAAAGACTTCTTGAAGAAGAAGGAGTACAAAGAATAAGGGAAAGACTGGTAATTTGGCTATTTAAAATCAATACCTTCTGTTCAACAAGAACTCATATACGTTGCAAAAACATAAGCCACAAACAGAAAAAAAATTTGCAATGTGTTGAACAGAGTTAGTACCATGCCAGATAGGGTGGCGCACACCTGTAACCCCAGCACTGAGGAGGCTGAGGCAGGAGGATCCTAGGTCCAGGTCAGACTGGGATACATCACAAGACTCTGTCTTCAAAAAAAAAAGTTCTTTGAATCAATAAGACAACAATAAAAACATCCCTGGAAGAACAGGCAAATCACTTCACAAAAGAGGAACTGCTAGTGACTGCACACAGCTTTCTGGAAAGGGATAGGCGGGTGGGCACAGATGTCCAAGTGAGGAATGGCACACAGGCAGTGACAGAGCAGGTGGGTGGCTATTGCCAGAAGGCAAAGTGTGAGTAGTGCCGGGCAGGGGGTGGTGGCAGGAGGTGCTGGGCTTACAGGGGTGGCAAGCAGCAGGGAGGAGGCAGAGGGACCAGCTGACTTCAGTGTTATTACTGTCAATTCCCTGTCAGGGCCTCAGGTTGTGAATTTACTAAATGCATTTGCCAACAATTTGTTCCTTTCTTTTGTTTTAGACAAGTCAAAATAAAACCAAATCTCTGCCAGAACAAAGCCACCAAATGTTTCCAGTACCTTGCCTACCACCTTCTCTTGCAGGATACTCCCCTCCGAGCACGGAGCATGCAAGGTGCTGTACGACTCGCGGCTGCTGTTCCGCCACCGGCTCTACACCGACCTGGAGACCATCCTGTACCGCGTGCACCTGTTCAGGCCCCTGTTGCTGCTCACGCGGCACGCGGGGCTCTATGTGCATGGCGTCGTGCCGCGCAGGGCCTTCCACGCGCTGGCGAGGTGGGCGTGGGGTGAGAGGGATAGCAGGCGGGCCTCTACCTCCTTAGATAGCAGTGTAGGCTCTTCTGAGACAATGCCAGGATGTTCTGGCAGAAGAAGGACCCACCAGTTTTGTGGCCTGTGATGTTGCTATGTTTGCTACCCCTCAGAACAGCCTAGAAGCACCTGAGGAAGAAGGGCTGGCTAAAATCCATTTTCCTGGGGAAACCATGAGTTTCTGCATCATCCGCAGACACGGCTTCCCTTCCAGAGCTGATACTTTGCCTCTGCCTCCTCCCTAAGCTTAGTGCCACCCATCCTCTCCGCTCCTCAGTAAGTGAATGCACAAAGGTCTGGCTCTTCCTGTAAGTGGTGCCTTTGTCCCAGGTGACCTGGGGTCTCACCACCTCTTTATGGAACAGCTTCTGACCAGTGGTGGCTCTTGGAGGAACCAGTCCCCTCTCCAGAAGCCACAGTTCAGGTGCAGAGGACACAAGGAAGGGGTGCAAGGGTAGCAAGTCTGTGTACAGTCCCTGGGGGTAGGAGTAGCCTAGGGAGGGCAGGAAAGGCTGACACTGGGGAACCAGCAGCTTGTTCATCTGAGAGCTTCTTGCCAGTTCCCGCAGGGTGCAACTCCCATCTTCCTCTTTATAGAGCCAGCTGCAGATCTGGGTTGCTGGCCTCAGCTATAGCTTGTCAAATGTATTAATAAAGGAGAAAGAGAATAAAGGAGTTGAGGAAACAGAACTTCAGGATGGAGAGTAATGGAGAAAGAGCTCCATTACTGAGAAGGCTTTTCATTTATTCCTTACCCTCACCACTATCTCTGGTCCAGGTGTAGAGGAGTAATGAAGCTCTCAGTCAGGGAGGGGCATGTGGAGGTGCTGGGACACTGGACATCCTGAGACTTGACTGTCATCAGCTGGAGAGGCTGGATGCTGTCCTGCCCGGTTCATGATGGAAAACAGCTAGGGTTCTATCAGGGAAAGGAAAGAAAGCTGTTGTTTATTAAGTGCATTCTGCATTTGGTAGCTACATCCACAATAGCTTTATTCCTCTCTGCTAGTTAAGGAAGCAGTTCAGAAAGGCCAAATGAGAGGCAAAGTCCACCACCCTTGGCACCCACCTTGCCAGCCTTGGGAAACAGTGAGCAGCACACAGCAGTTTCAGGACATGTCTTTTGGTCAGCAGCATTGTGGACCAAAGGCCCACTGCAGACTAGGCCTGGAGACGGGGGTCCTGGTGGGGAGGCAAGATGATCATGCAGGCCTTGAGCTTCACTCAGAAGTAAGGCTGTGTGCATGTGGCCCACTCCGGTACGGGAGGATCCTGAGATCTACCCTACTGATGTCCAGCATGTCAGGGTTTCTCCACGGTGGGGAGTGGATTGATGAAGGAAGCACTCAGAGTAGAGCCCTTCATTTCTGGGAGTTCCAATAAAGTGGGAAGAAGGCCAGCTCGTAGAATGGAATCCTGTGACCTGATGCCAGCTAGTCCATCTCTCTGAGTTTTCATTCCTACTGTAAAATGGGGGTGGTTATACCTACCTTGCAAGTGAGACTGAGTGGGTGGCCGGTCTTTGTTCCAGAGTCTATGACATCTGCTACAACAGCACCAGGCTCAAGGAGGTGATTGTAAGAGGACTGCTGCCTTCCTCTGCTATGATCAAAGACCTGAGTCAAGAGTTTGGGATGCCCATTTCACAAGAGGATCTCACAGATGCAAAACTGCTAGTCATATCACCTCCGCCCTCTCTCTATGTTGAAGACTTCCAAAGCCGGGCTTCCATCCTCACTTTGGAGATCCGTACTCACCAGGAGAAGTACCTGCAGTGGCGTAATGCCATGCTGCTGAAAAACAAAGTCCAGAAAGCCAGGCTGATCCAGGTGGGTGTTCTCCCCTCCATCCACATCAGGGTTCCAACCCCTGCCTCATTTGTCCACCACTGTTGACAGATGCAGGTAGGTGCCTCTGGCCTGTGTTTGCTCTTCTGGCCTGGGACAGTGGGATGGGTGGGCCAGCTGAGCAGGATGTGGGGCTAAGCCACACCAGAGTATTCACTCCCAGTCCTGGCTTACCTTGGCTGCAGTTCCTGAAGGTAAGAAGGAAAGCTTTTAAGGCATGTAGCATTCACCATGGGTTCAGAGTTCAACTTAGAAAACTTTAAGATGTGTGTGTGTAACTTCTTGCTTAAGCTACCTAAAGGCATGGATGTCATAAATTGTCTTTTAGAAAATAACTGACCTGTATGGAAAAATCTGAGAGAAAATAGGAGACAGAGAAGCTGTGAGGCATAGATGATTGGTGGTATGTGGTCTGGATGGCCCAGGAGACCCTCACTCACCCATGGCAGCCAAAAAGATTTGAAAACAGAAACAACTAAGGTGTGACTTGAAGTTGTCTGCCCATGATCTGTCTGCACGAAGCCTCCCCTGACATCTTTACTCTCCACCTGTCCAGTTTTTTTTTCTTTTTTTTTTTTAATTTGAGACAGAGTTTCACTCTGTAGGCAAGGTTGGCCTTAAACTCCAGATTCTCCTGCCTCAGCTTCCTGAGTGCTGGGATTACTGTGTGTACCACCACGCTTGACTTCTCCATAGTTTTATTGCATATGTGTATATTCATAAACATCTCACTAGATTTGCCTATATTTGAAATGTAATGATACCACATGTACTTTCCAGTTTGAATTTTTGCTCAGTATTAATGAGATCCAATCATGTAGATGTGTAGCTGTAGGAATATATCATAATTTACTTATTGGGTTACATTTATATTCTTATCTCTTGCTACTTAAATATATAACTATATGCTAACAGTCTTCTGCTAAAAATGTTTTTTTGGTGGCACTTGGGTTTGAAAAAATACGTTTTATTTTTCCTAGGATGTACACTTAGGATTAGAATTGCTGAGTGGCACTTTCATTTGTCTAGATAATCCCTTATTTTCCAAAATGATTATAAACCAACATAAACTACTCCACTATGCATTAGAGATCCTGCCATCCTACTTCCCATGCTAATGCATTATAGGCAGACTTAAACTTATTACTAACAGTATCTCACAGAGGTTTTAATGTGTATTGTTTACCAATAAAGGTAAATATCTTTTCATACATTTCCTGAGGATTTTGATTGCTTTTCCTGACTTTTAGGTAATGTTAAAACATCACCTAAATGTTAAAACATTCTTGATGCCAACTGAATAGCATTTGTATATGTGGCAAGTATCTTCTTGTTTCTGACTTGTTTTCTCACTCTCAATGGTGTCTTTCAGTATAAGTTATTTTAAAACTTGGTAATTTTTTTTGTATTTTCTCATCACATTTTTCCTGCTTTTCAGAAATATTTTTTTACCCTAAGATCATAAAACCATTCTGTTTTCTTCTAACAGTTTTAAATATTTGTTCATCATATTTCAACTCTGAATTCAGCTGAGATTTATTTTTGTATGAGGGTGGGAATTTAATTTCATTTCTTCCATATAGATGATCAGTGGTGCCAGAAATCTTACTGTAATCCTTCTGCTCTCTGCTTCTTGAGTAGCTAGGATTATAGGCATGAGCCACCCATGCCTAGCTCCAGCAATCTTAAATAGCCTGTCCCTTCCCCCCAATGATTATACTGCAGGTCAGGTTGTAATTTATGCATGTGTATGAGTGGTTGGGGTCCTCATTGAGATTGCATCTGACTTTATTACTATTCCCTTCAAAGAACTAACAGATTGCTTTTTTAATTTCCATATCGTGTACTTTCTATCTCCTTGATTTCTGCTCTTATTTTGGATTTAATTTGAAGTTCTTTTTCTAACTTCAGATGGAAGTTTAGATAATTGATTTTTTTGGGAATTCATCTTAATATATACAATCTAGCTATAGACTCCCTATGAATATCAAGTGCATCCCACAAGCTTTATATATATTTCATGCTACCTGTTAAGTTATATTTTAAATTTCTTCTTTGATATACAGATTATATGATGAATGTATTGTTTAATTTCCAAATACTTTGGTTATTCAGTTTTATCCTAATTTCACTGATATCCTGCCTTTTGCTGAGATTTACTTCATGACCCAGCCTGGAAACTTTGGTAAATGTTCCAGTGTACTCAAAAAAATGTGTATCCTATAGTTGCTGATATGTTGTATTTATGCCAGTTATGTTGACTTGACTATTTTTCCAAGTCATTTATAGCCTTAGTGATCTTAGAAGAAAATCTTTTTCTTCTATCAGTTACTAAGGCAAGTCTGTTAAAATCTCTAAATATGATTATGAGTTTGTGCTTCTTTAGTTTTATAACTTCAGACTATTTCATCTTGATTTGATTACTTTATAGCTCTGGTAACCCTTTTTTTCTTAGATTATACTTTTTATATGTATACATTAAACATAGTAAAGTACACAAATCTCAAATGTATAGCCTTGTTCATATCTATGTATATGTGAAAACATTATTCAAATCAGTTATAAAATATTCCATTACCCCAAAACATTATGTGCCTTACCAGTTAGCCACTATTCTTAATTCTTTACCATACACATGTATTCTTATACCTGTCTGGCATTTGCTCCACATACATTTTAAGTTTTTCCATGATATTGTATATATATTTATTCCTGAGTTTTCAATTGTATACCACAGTTAATTTATCCATTTTCTACTGATTTATATTTAGACTGACCCAAGTGGCTTTTTTTGGGGTGGCACTATTGTGGATAAAACCACTATGAACATTTTTGTACAGATCCTCTTACACACACACATGTACATTCCTCTTTGGCATGTACCTAGGAGTAAAATTATTGGGTCATAGGATAGGCATATGTTTAAGCTTTTAACTTTAGCTGTCTTTCTGAAGTGGTTATACTATTCTGCACTCCTATAAGTAAATACATGGGAGTCCCATTTTCCTTGCAACTTGCAAACACTTGGACTTTTTAGTCTATAATATCAGCCATGCTGGTGAAATGTCTGGTATTACATTCTTGTTTGTGCCTTTCCCTGATGAGTAATGATTTGAGCACCTTTTTACTTTTATCAGCTATTTGGAATCGTTTTGTGAAGTGTTTGTTCAAATTTATATTTTCCCTCTATGTAAGAGAAACTTTGTTTTTCTCACTGATTAGTAGTGTTTTCTTAGTATTAGTCAGAGTTAGACAGAGTTGTCCAATGTATTACAAATATCTTTTCCCAGGCTGTGGCTTGACTTTTGTTTTAGAGCTGCATTTTGATGAGAAGTACTTAATATTCATGAATATCAATTTACATTTTTCTCTGGCTAGATTTTTTTATTACTTAGAATTCCAGTTTTCTTTTCATCCCATGTCTTTTGGCTTCCATTGTTCCAGCTGTTCTTTTGAAGATAACATGCTTCCCTCTGGTTGCTTTAATTTTTTCTCATTTATTTGGTTTCAGAAAAACACCAATATAGGGGTGTTTTTCTTTGGATTTATCCTGCTATGTATGGGTTTATAGAAGTTGTTGAACCTTTGGTTTGATATCCTTTAAGTTGAAAATATTCTAGAACAGTGTTTATCTTCTGATATTACTTCTATTCATATTCTCCCTGTTATGGGATTCAGTGACAGGTATTTTGCACATCTCACACTTATTTTCCAGCCTTTCTTCTTCTTTTTCTTCAATCTGAGTATCTTCAACCAATTTATCTTCTGACTGAATAATGTGCCATATGTAGTCTGCTACTAAAACCATCCAGTGAGTTGTAACTTTTTCAATTCTGATTTCCATTCAATTTCTTTTCTCTCTCTTCTCCTTCTTTCTTGGCAGTGTCTCACTACCCAGCCCAGGCTGTGATCTTCCTGCCTCAGCCTTCTGAGTGCTTGGGTTACAGGTGTGCACACCTGGCTTCACTTATTTTCTTGATTAACTGTATAAGTAGTGTTGTCAGAGTTGTAGAGGTCCTTGATGTCTAATGCCAGAGGACTTTTTTTTTCTTCCAGTACTGGGATTTGAACTCAGGGCCTTATGCTTGCTAAGCAGTTGCTCTACTACTTGAGCTACAGTCCCAGGGTTTTTTTTTCCATTGGTTATTTTTGATAGAGTCTCACTTTATGCCTGGACCACAATCCTATTTGTGCTTCCCTGCATAGCTGAGGACAAGCACGTACCACTGCACCCTGCCATGGATTGAGATGGGGTCTTGTGAACTTTTGGCCTCAGCTAGTCTTAAACTGTGATCCTCCTGATTTCCTTCACCCCCACAGCTGTGATTACAGGCTTGAGCCACTGTGCCTGCCTAATGCTGGAGAGCTTTTAGCAGCCAAGCAGAGAACAAATACCCTTACTCAGGTTGAGGCGTTTTTCTAGACTGCCCTTACTCCTAATGCATAGACTTTCTAGTTCTGAACCAAAAGCCTCTGGCCCTTAGGATCCTTCTCCTTGGCACACTTTAAATTTTCTGTTTTTAGACTGTGACACTTTAAAAAATATCTGCTTAGCTTTTGGTTCACTTAGCTGCTTTATTTTGTTTGGGTTTTTATCTGCCTCATTCAGGGGTAACTTAGGAATTAGCAAATGCCTTGAGAGAAAAACTTTCTCTCTAGGGGATGGGGGTGGCTCAAGCCATAGAGTGCCTGCCTAGCATTCGTGAGTTCAAACCCCAGTACCACAAAAAACAACAACAAAAACAGACTTCATGTACTTCTGTGTCTCCAGATTCTTGGCCTTGCTGACCCCAGGTGCTTTGATTGCTCTCCAGTGATGTCAAGTGTATGCATCTCCTCACAGAGATGTTGCTGTGGTTTAGTGTATTTTAAGACTATGGCAGGTGCACATATGTTCACAAGTTGTATATTTTTGCTCTCACTGTATAATAGCCTTTCCCTCCTTTTGATAGGCTTATTTTGAATCATTTTGTCAGAATATCTGCCACTCTAGATTTTTGTCTTTGCTTTCTGGTGTCTTTTTGCCTAGTGTGTATTATATATCTCTTTTAATTTTAAAGGTACATTGTCTAAAGCAGTTTTGAAGACAGTATATTGTAAGGTTTAAAAAACCAATCTGAGATTAGTTAACTGGCAAGCTTAAAACACATTTATGGTAAATGTTGTTAGATTAGACATTGTTTTGCCACCTAATTTTCTTTTAAACATTTCTTTCCAGTGTTTTGTGAAGAGATGTTTTCTTCTGTTCATTTAGAAGTTATACATTCTATTTTGTGTTCTAAGATGATTATCCTGAAGACTAGATTCATTTATATATATTCCTATCAAATTGTTGCTCACAATTTATATTAGCTCCCTTTACAGGCAAATAGTACATCTCTCATACTTCACACACCACCACTCTTTTATAGTCTCTAGAATTCCAGTTTTAGGCTGTTATGAAACTTTACCTTTTCATATAGGAAAACTGTCCTAGGATATTGGACACCATTGCTTGCTAACTTGAATCCTTCTGGATTTTCCTCATTTTGAATTTTCTTCCAAGAAGGTCTTTGTGTAAAACCTCCAAGTCTTGTAAGCCTGAGTGTATGTTCCCACAACTAAATGAACAGTTTACCTAGACCTGAAATTCTAGGTTGAAGTTTTTATTTTGTTTATAGTAGTGCTGATGCTGAATGTGATATTAGTCTGATTCTTTGTGGAAGTTTGGAAAATTTGTTTGTTTTCTTAACTATCACTAGTAATAGTGTACTCACGCTTGGGATTTCCATGATTTAGTCTGTTTCCATCTTCTGTATCCAGGTTAAGTTTTGTCTTCTACAAAAAACTGAAACTAGATCCATGTATATCACCCTATACCAATATTAACTCAAAATGGATCAAGGATCTTAATATCAGACCACAAACTCTAAAGTTGATACAGGAAAGAGTAGGAAATACTCTGGAGTTAGTAGGTATAGGTAAGAACTTTCTCAACAAAACCCCAGCAGCACAGCAACTAAGAGATAGCATAGATAAATGGGACCTCATAAAGCTAAAAAGCTTCTGTTCATCAAAAGAAATGGTCTCTAAACTGAAGAGAACACCCACAGAGTTGGAGAAAATATTTGCCAACTATACATCAGGCAAAGGACTGATAACCAGAATAGATAGGGAACTTAAAAAACTAAATTCTCCCAAAACTAATGAACCAATAAAGAAATGGGCAAGTGAACTAAACAGAACTTTCTCAAAAGAAGAAATTCAAATGGCCAAAAAACACATGAAAAAATGCTCACCATCTCTAGCAATAAAGGAAATGCAAATTAAAACCACGCTAAGATTCCACCTCACCCCTGTTAGAATAGCCATCATTAGCAACACCACCACCACCAGATGTTGGCAAGGATGCGGGGAAAAAGGAACCCTCTTACACTGTTGGTGGGAATGTAAACTAGTACAACCATTCTGGAAAAAATTTGGAGGCCACTTAAAAATCTAGACATTGATCTACCATTTGATCCAGCAATACCACTCTTGGGGATATACCCAAAAGACTGTGACACAGGTTACTCCAGAGGTACCTGCACACCCATGTTTATTGCGGCACTATTCACAATAGCCAAGTTATGGAAACAGCCAAGATGCCCCACCACTGACGAATGGATTAAGAAAATGTGGTATCTATACACAATGGAATTTCATGCAGCCATGAAGAAGAACAAAATGTTATCATTCACTGGTAAATGGATGGAATTGGAGAACATCATTCTGAGTGAGTTTAGCCTGGCCCAAAAGACCAAAAATTGTATGTTTTCCCTCATATGTGGACATTAGATCAAGGGCAAACACAACAAGGGGATTGGACTTTGAGCACATGATAAAAGTGCTCAAGGGAGGGGTGAGGATAGGTAAGACACCTAAAAAATTAGCTAGCATTTGTTGCCTTAATGCAGAGAAACTAAAGCAGATACCTTAAAAGCAACTGAGGCCAATAGAAAAAGGGGACCAGGAACTAGAGAAAAGGTGAGATCAAAAAGAATTAACCTAGAAGGTAACACACACACACAGGAAATCAATGTGAGTCAATGCCCTGTATAGCTATCCTTATCTCAACCAGCAAAAACCCTTGTTCCTTCCTATTATTGCTTATACTCTCTCTACAACAAAATTAGAAATAAGGGCAAAATAGTTTCTGCTGGGTATTGAGGGGGTGGGGGGGAGAGGGAGGGGCAGAGTGGGTGCTAAGGGAGGGGGTGGGGGCAGGGGGGAGAAATGACCCAAGCTTGTATGCACATATGAATAATAAAGGGAAAAAAAGTTTTGTCTTCTATCCACAGCTGCTTTTTGGGAACACATCACAAACTGATTTCCCATTAGTCCATTCTGCAGCTGTATCACTTCTGCAGTACACCCCATTTGCTAATTTCAGATGTTTTATATGCAGTATTTGTTTTACTTGTTTCATATTGTGAATATTGTTACATGCATTTATTTTTTGGCAGTACTGGAGTTTGAACTTGGGATTTCATGCTTGCAGGCACTCTACTAATTGATCCACCCCCAGGCCTTTTACAGGCATCTTTTAAGAATGATGCCTGTAATTCTTAAATTGTTAAATTCTTAGCTCATCTCTTTCAATAACTTGGCTTCACTTGTTCATTTTGTGTCCTTTCTTTTATACCTATGTACTTCCCAGGCATCTAGGTACTGTGGCAATGAGTCTAAATTCCCCTGCAGGTTTCAGCCTCTAGGCAGAGAATCTCAGGTACCCAGAACATGTGTTGACCACTTCTTGCTTTTCTTCCACCAAATAACTCTAGTCAGATCTTTGACTTTAAACTGTAAGAAATAGCATGGATGGATGTCTCCCTGGGTTGTAATCCACCATCTCTAGGGTTTGGAAGGAGCAGAGCACTTGTACTTCTTGTCATGACAAGGCCAAATAATTCAGATTAGTGAAATTCTTCTGATTACTGTGCAGTACTCCTCAAAGATTCCAAAGCCATGTCAATGGGGTTTATATTAAGGTCACCATCTTCAGCTAACAGCCCCCCCAAATCCCATAAAACCCTCACCCCCAAATAACAAAAACCCCACTTGCTTCTTTTAAAGCGAAAGATGGTTATTTTGCCTAAGGTTTGTAGGCAAATGACTATACTACATGGTGACAGTTTGGATTGTCAACTCTTCTGTTTTGGGACCTTCCCCCACCTTGTGTATACAGTATTGGGATCAAATCCAGAGCCTTGTGACTGCTAGGTAAGTGCTCTACCACTGAGCTACAACTGCAGCCCTTGGTTTTTTGAAGCAGGGTTTTACTATGTAGTCCAGGCTGGCTTCAAACTCAATCATCCTGCCTCAGCCTCTCAAGTACTAGGATTACATGTGTGAGCCACCATACCCAGCTCATTTTTATTTTTATTCACAAAGGAAGTCCATAGGCCATCTTATTTCTTCAGCATTTTCTCTGATGAGGGAATAATCCTTGTTTCCTACTTTTCTCTGTTGGAGAGAAAGAGGACCAGACTCCCTACATACTCAGTACCCAGACCTAGCCATGGCCAGGGATGGCAATCCTTGCTGCTTTAAGTTACAGTGTTCCCTCCACACCACGAAAGCCTCTCTTACTTCCGACCATTGGAACCTGTCTCACTATTACAAACTGGATGGAAAAACAGTGGCTATGTGATGTGTTCCAGTTACAGTGACCTTGGGCAATTTCTGGTCCTCTGAATTCCATTTTGGATAGTGACATGTTGGACTAAATGGCTACTGGTCAAGGTTCCATGATGGAAACACAGCACCAGTATTGAAGAATCTTTAGTCAATACCTGTACCACAGCTTGGTGCCAGAGTCTGTCTCATGGCACACAAGCTTAGCAGCTTCTGGTGAGGGGCTGATGTGGGTAATGACTGATGTTTCTTTCTTCAGAAAAATATCACAGAAGCCTATCAGGTCATCAAGAAGCCTCGTAAGTCCATGGTGAATGTGATTAGAATTTTACCCCCTCTCAACAAGGCTGTCTACAACTATAGTATTCAGGCCCTGAATTCCACAGAGCTTGCCAAGAAGGAGATGTATCAAGAGATGGCCAAGGTGAGTGACAGGTCCAAACAGGATAATGACAGTTGGCTAATCTTTCCTCTCTGACCACAGGTCAGCAGGGGACATCTGGGGAGCAGATGAAAGCCTATCAACTAGGGACAGTAGACAAGGGATCAGGTGCTAAGAAAGAAGTCCTGTTCTACACTAAATGTGAATCCTCCATATATGCTCAGGGGTGAGCCAAAGACCTTTAACATATGCTCAGATACACATGACTGAAAACAACTCTGTTGTTGCTGCTTATGGAAGGCAGCTGTCACCCAGAACACAAAACCTTGGTGTTTTCAGCACCCATTACATGTAGAAAACTTGTCAGAGGGGGTAATAATGTGACCTTCACAGGGTTGCCATATAGTTCAGTTAATCTGAATGTGCTACTTACAATGTCAGGAGCTATCATTATGCCTCCAGCTGTTTCTGACACGTTCTTGGTATCCTGATGCCCACTCAACCCTATCCAAGACTATTCCCAAATGTTCTCTAGATCTATTTGCCCTCATTTCTAGGAGCCAGGAAAGAGATTCACATACTCACAGAATTATCTCTCAGCCATGGTGGAGCCCCAGGATTCAAAGGAAGAGGAGAAGAAAGCCCAGAAGAAGTCCCGTCAGGCCTGGATCACAGCCAATGGGTTCCAAGTATGGGGTCTTCACAGCAACATTGAAAACCAACATCAGGATCTCAGACTGCCAGCCATTGGAGGGCTGAATGAGGTCCACAGGGAGGAGGAGGCCTCAAGTGGAGGGTCCTTACAAACCTTTTTCCTCCTAACTTACTTGCTCCTCTAATTTAGGAGTGGAAGGAAAATGCACTGTTTGCCAATGTGCTGAAACCTGTGTTGGATCGAGAGAGGTGGAGCTGGGACTGGCGTCACCTGGATTTTGATTTGTACAAGAAGCCACCACCTTTCTTTGAGCTGGTCCCTCCTGCAGCTCCAAAGGCTGTGACAGGTAAGACAACAGCTTTCTGAGCTAAGTCTCCTGATGTATTGGCAGGCAGAGCTCTGCATCTTTGCATCTTTAGCACTGTCTGCTTGGTTTTAGAATGCATCCAAAATTTCTAGGCTAGGAAATCAGGATTCAGAATTGGTCTGTTAAAATGGACTGGAACACAGGAGGCCTGGGTTTTAGTCCCATGTGTCATGCTAGTTTTGCAATTTTGAGCAAATCCCTTTCCTGCTCTGAGCCCGGTTTCTCAGCTATAAACAAGGGAGAGTTGGAAGGTAGGTTTAAGGGCTTCTGGTGCTTCAATGCTGTTAGCCATGACTGGTCTCTGAATCCTGACAAGCTCAGGGCAGAGGCCTGGGGCCATATGTAGGCCTTCTAGGGGGAGGGAGACCGGAAGCATGGGTCTTGCTACACTAATACCCCCAAGTCTTTCTGTTTTCCTCTTTATCCCCATTTATGAAGACTGACTTCAAGATCATGTACAGGTTGGTATGGAACCCACATTTGTTGGTTAACATAGCCAGAAACTTTGTTCGGGGGGAGACAAGAGTTTCTTTAGCAACAAGGTTTGCCAGAAAAACTTTCCCAGAAATCTAGATGCAATAAACAAGGGAGATTCTTCTCTCTCCTGACTCCTGAGGACAGCTGGTAACATGGAACAGCTCCATGAAACAGGAGGAAATGTAACATGTTTGCTAGAATGTCACTTTCTCTGTATTCCTGGAAGTTGTTCCTTCCCTCCCAGACAGGACCTGGGCCTTCTGAGACTCCAAAGGAAGAGATCCAATCTCCTGGCCTATCCCAGGCTGAGTGGTGGTTCTGGAGGAGGTGTTAGCTGATAGCTGAAAGCTACCAATCTTCCCAGCTCAAGTTGCCTGGCTACTTTGTTGGTGAAAATGTGTAATAAATACAGGCTGGGGTTTTCCCTTGCCCTGCTCATGTTTAAGAAAAACTAGAGGGCCAGGTGTGGTGGCTCCCAGTTACTTGGGAGGCAGAGTTTGGGAGGATCAGAGTTTGAGGCTACCCCAGGCAAAAAATTCACAAGACTCCACCTCAACCAAGGAAAACTGGGTATGGTGGTATGCGACTATCATCCCAGCTATGCAGGAAGCATAAATAAGATGCTGTGCTCCATGTTGGCTTGGGTATACATGTGAGACCCTTTTCAAAAAATACCTGAAGCAAAAAGGGCTGGGATCATGAGTCAGGTGATGCCTGGCAAATGCAAGGTCCTAAGTTCAAACCTCAGTACCACCAATGTAAAAAAAAAAAAGACAAAAAACTAGAATCAGCAGGAGAGAACTGAGGGTGAGGGCTCTGAAACCCAGATGGTGGACTAGAAAACCTGCTGCTGAAATGCCTGTGTGCCACCAGTAATAAGCTTTCCCAATGAAGGGATCTCTGTGCAGCCTCCTGTCCCTGGCACTCTGCATAGGCATCCACTCCACATTGTATAAAGTGCCTCTGCCATCAATTACTAGCCAGTAAAGTAACAACTTTGGATTTCACTAGAAAGTTATTTCCAAAGCACCATATTTGTAAAGTTTTGCCTTTGTAAGACTAGTTACCAAAACCCTGGCAGAGATCTTGCAAGCAATGGTAGACAGGAGCCTGGTGAAATACAAGGACTGTTAGTCCCACCTAAAAACATCCTCTCACCCTCTCTTTAAGATGGAGGCCAATCCTTGCAGAGAAACAAAAAGTGACACGTGGGAATAAGCATACACTGTTATACTCCAGGCAATGCAGTTTGCCTATTACCCGAGAAGGACTGAAGGTAGGGCTAAGTCATGAGCCTTTGTGAACACTGATCATGGAATTAGGCACTGCCCCTTGGCATTTAGACTCTCTTCACAGGGTGAAAACAAGGGAGACCAGATGCCATAGTGATGGAGGTATGGCTCAAGTGGCAGAGTGCTTGCTCAGCAAGCACAAGGCTTGGAGTCCAAACCTTACTACTGAAAAAAATACCAGTCATATCAAAGGGTTCCTCAGTGTCATGCCAATATCCACTAAAGGCTGGTTCTGAGGAATAACATGAACAGCATAGCAAGGCTAGAAAGGACAAATTATGACTTTTTCTTTTTTTGTTAAATGGTTCCTAACACAGGCTGTAAGTGCATTTTACTCCTAGTTTCAATGAGAGACATGGACACAGTGTCCAGCTATTTCTTGAATGTATAGTCTACTAGAAATGGTTGTCCATGCCCCAAACAGTTCCTGTAAACCTCATGCCACCAAGGTGGCAGCATAAACCCCAGTTTCCACTGTGGTACCTTCTAAACCACCAGCATAGCTTCAAGTGCCAAGTGCCAGCTATTCCATTCTCTTTCTACATTTTTTTAGAAGCTATGATCTCATTAGATGCAGGGGCAGGTCCAAACCTAGCTGAAGCTTCTTAGGAGATGGAGAAAGGCCTTCAGCTGCACACAGGGGACAAATGGTCCACTTGCATAACCCAAGGTCTCCATCTTCTAAAGAGGCTGTCTTGGGTTGGTTGTAGCTTGGGACATGTGGTACAGGAATATGGCCCCTGCCTCAGGATGTCCTGTCCAGAGGGTGAGCACATATGTAGGTTCGCTTCTCGAGGATCTGCTGGGACACTTTCTTAATCTGCTCATCCTGGTTCTCTGGAGCATCTGGGAGGGAAAAGAGAGGGAGTGAGTGATGTTACTGCACTGTGACAACACAAAGCTGGACCTTCTCCTCCAAACCCCCAGGAATGATTTTGGGCTACAGGGAGAGAACAGGAGAGTGGCCTCATCCTAAATAACAAAGGGCTTGTCCGATTCTCTAAAACCCCAGGGTTTAGGCGTAAGGAGAAGGTCCTGATCCATAAACAGCCTCCCTAAAGAAGAAACCATTTCATCACTTGGCAACTGGGCTGAGCTCTGCAGGGTGCCAGGATTGTCAGGGTCAGAGAAGATCCTGACCTACAAGTTCCAAGATATGGCCAAATAGCTACGGAAAAGGAAGAGCATTCCAGGCAAACTGAAAGGCAGATGCAAAGTCCCATATTTTCCAGGGCCAAGGCATGTGATTTGAGTTCAAGGGGCAGGTAAAAATCCTGTCTCTGGAATCAGGTATAATGTCTGTTCCCTTCCTCTGGGACCTTTCCTGGGTAGGTAACAAGGATATGACCAGACACACTGGCAGACACTAGCAGTGCCTATACAGGGGGCCATATAAAGGCATGTCATCTGCAGAGGCATGCTCTGCTTAGTGGGTGCTCCTATGTAGGCCCTCTCTTCAGGCAGAAGGTTGTGAGCCAGCAGGCTCTGGAAGCAAACAAGGTCTAGAAACAGGTCTCCATCAACAAATGCCTGGACTTGGGACCTCTTGCCTCCTGCAAACCAACCCACTTACACTTGTCCAGCTGTGACAGGCTGAAGAGATTCTGGAAATAAGCTTCTACACAGAACATGTTGGCCAACAGAACCTGCCAGAATAGAAGTCAGAAAGGATGGCTGCTGAGAGCTCTGGAGTTGACCTCTAAACTCCAAGGAACCCAGCTGGTTTAACTGGGCAGGGTGGCTGAGATCAAAAGGCCTGGCTCAGAAGTCACAGTCTTGGGCTCTAATTCCAGCCCTAACTCAAACTCCCTCCGTCCCCAAGAGCAAGCTTGCTCTCAGCATCTCTTAAGACTCACTTTCCTCCTCTGTATATTGAATGTCACAATCCTAATATGTGTGGGCTCCTCTGTAATGATGCATGTAGGTACTAGTAACTGTGTCTGCCTCCTACCAGGGGAAGAATGTACAGGGCAGGTAGATTGGGTACAGGCAATGGTTTGTGGACCCCTGTCACTCATCCCTTTCTCTTCTCTCAGGTAGGAGAGCAGAGGTACTAGCCCAGTCTTCTGAGCAGCATGGACCCACCCACAGCCCAGCAAACCTATCCAGCCTCTTGGGCAGCACCTCTGTGCATCCTCAGTACTCACCCACTGTCAGTGACCACCCCCTGGCTTATTCAGCCCCTCTCTCCCGGTGCTCCCTGACTGGGCCACATCACCCAACTCCCCACTTGCCTAGTCACTAGCTTCATTAAAGTGCAACATGATGAAAGGCTTGGCTCAGTATTCACAGCCTTAGGTTATAATTCCTTCCTTGATCCAAACTTGGTCTATCCAACAGTAAGCTACTGTCTCTGTGACTGATTCCTGTGTGGGGCTGGATGCAACTCACCTCATGGTCATGGTTCCGAAGTCCAATGCGGATAGAGCGGCTGGCCTGTGACAGCACGGCCGTCATACCATACAGGTTGATGAGGATGTTGGCCACCCGCTTCAGCACCAGCTGTTCATCCACAATGGTCTGAAGACAGAGGCCCAGAGTGAAGACTTCCTACATAGCCCAACCAGCTCCATGATCTCTCTCAAACCATCCCTGTCTCCCTTTGCTCCTGGGTAATGTAGGCCAGTGATGCCTTTTCCTTCAGGTTATGGGAGGCTGGTTCTCAGCTGCCTTTTGTTTTCCCTTCTCTATTCTTGGACAGGTGTCAAGGTAAGACCAGAGGCCTGCATTTATTATGTGAAATGTCACCTTTAGCAGCAAGTGCCTCACAGATTAATGTCCTGGATTAGGGCCTCACATGTGTAGCCTCTTCCTGCACTCCAGGGAGCCTCTCTTCACCAGAAAGTGCCCAGGAGAACACTGCAGAAAATGCATCCAGCAGAATGTCCCAGACCCATGGCAATCAAGACTTCTAGGTGGGGCACAGCACAAAATAATCTCATGACTGCTGGCCATGTAGGCTGTGCCCCAGGCTTGGCAGAGCCCACTTACCTTTCCAAAGCGGAGCAGCAATGTCTCAACTGTCCAGCCAAAGTAATACACATTCTCCTCGAGCTTGTTGGCACTATCCTATTACGGCAAAAGACAAACTGGGCTCAGCACTCTTTCCCCACCGTGCCTGCCCATCCTGTCCCACTTGACAGCCTCAGCCCAGGGCATCCAGGTGCCTCCCCAACTTTCCTGGAGGAGCCTATACCTCTAGTCTTTTCCCTCTGGAATGGGACTATCATGCAGGAGGGCACCCAAACAGAGTACACTTGTTGAGCCTACTTACCCCAAGACTGGGGTGTACAACTCCAAGATTGCCTGTCAGACCCAGATCAATGGATCGGCCCAGAGAGTCCCGAAGCTTCCGGCCAATGGTCTCCATGACTACGGTCACATTGCCTTGTTTAAGCTCACTGCAGGAAGTCCAGAGTCTTGTGACTTGAGGCCAAATGGCTGGCTGCAGTTGTCCATGGCCCCCTGGAGCTCTATGCCCTCCCTCAGCCTGGCATTTGGGCTCCTAGAAGGAGGGTGGGGGGGTGGAAGGGGCGCTTACAGCTTATTAGGGAGCAGATGGTTATGTGGCCAGTGGCTGGCTGTTGGTAAGAGTCTGCAAACACCAGCCACCCCCACTGTGGGAGCTGGGAGCCATCAAAGGAAGGGGAAGATGAAGTTCAAGTGTGGCTGGAGGGAGTGAAAGGGCTCCCTGGGCAGCTGGCCCTTCCTGTAATCTCCAGGTGAGGGAACAGCCAATGTTGCTGCTGCTCCTCCTCCCTCCTGCCAGCTCTGGAGGGAGCCTGTATGTGAGGCTGCACTGTTCCCCCACTGTCCTATACTGTCCTAGGATGGAGCAGCCCTATCCTCTGGCCTCTGCTGGGCAGGCAGGCCTAAGGAGCAGACCATGGGAATAGTACGTACTTGAATCTTGCAGTCAGGATGCAGCCGGCATGCTGTAGGCCCGTCAGGGCAATGAACATCCGGAGAATCTCATTGGTTCCCTGCGGCCAGCAGTGTGGAGGTCAACATCAATAGGCAGCCCCAGCAATACTGTCTGTGACTGGGCAGGCTGAGCCACCACACTCTGCCCAAATGGCTGACACTTTAGAAGCACAGGGAGCAGGGCTATGACCAGGTGTCAGGGAATACACAGTTATGGGTTGGGGACCTGACCAGATGCATGGCTTCTGACTAGGACCTCCTATCTCTCATGGCCAGCTTCACATGGGTCACTCTTCTAAGCCCCAGAATCCTCATTAAAACAAACACCAGTTTTCCCTGGGTGGTGAGGGCCACTGATGCTCAGAGCACAGCAACTGTGGCCAGATTCCTTAGGGAAGCCACCAATGGTTGAGCAATAGAAGCTGGGAACTCCTCAGTACATGCACAATACTGAAGGTGTGTGTCGGGGTTGCCACATGCTGCTCCTCCCCACCTGATTCTGTCTGTTCCTTGTGAGGATGCTAGGCTTCTGCCTAGTACACACAATAGTGCTGTGGGTGCCAGGGAGCTGAATGGCCATGACCCAGGCTTCATGTCCAGTACTGCCCTGCAGCTGGGCTGGCACTATAGAGGGGGCTCCCATGGGAAGGGAAGTTGGGCACAGAGGCTTCCACAATATTGCCCAGCTCTAAGCTACAGAGTCTAAGAGTCTACAGAGGCACCTGCCTCACCTCAGAGACTTCGCATCCTTTTAAGAATTATAGCCTTGAGGGTTTTTTAACCCCAGCTGACCACTCCACCCAGTCATAGAGGAACCCAGGCCTCCCAGGCTGAGAGACGGGCCTTTGGAGAGGCAGCCTCAGCCAGAAAGGCTGAGACACACTGTATCATCAGCCACACTATGTCCCTTTCTGCCTTCAGGCAGGCCTTGGACTGAATGACTGAGCTAAGGGAGAAGAAATGCTGACTGGCATGTTGGGCATGCTTGGGAACAAAAGCAATCAATGAGGACTTTCACTGGGTGTGATAACCCAGGATCAAAGTGACAGTCAGGATGATCCTCATTACTTGATCAGTGGCACAGCTCAAACCCTCTCCCTGTCTAAAGGTCTGCCTCTTGCATGCCCCCATGGCCACCAGCAGGACCCATCCATATTTTTGCCTTAGTCCCCCTAAGTCTACCCTCCCTTCCAGTGGGAGCACCTCTGGGCTTGGGTCTCACCAGCCATGGAAGAATTTCCTAGAACACAAATATAACCAAATCACTCCCTGCTTGGAAACTTCCTATGGCTTTCCAAGTCCTGATTGTTAGTCAAAGTCTTCCACAGTCCAGCTCCTTTTCTATCTTTCCCATCCATCCTTTGCATTCCAACTCTCTTCCCTGTTCCACTACCTGTACCAGCCCATTAAGCAAGACTGATCAAAACACCCAGAAAGACTTTCTTACTCTGTGTGTTCATCTCATGCTGTTCATTAAGTCCTGTCTTGGCTTTGTGTGCGTCATTTTCCTGCCTTTCATTCAAATTTCCCCTCCACAGTCCTTTTTGCCCTCAAGGGTCAAGTGCATGTGCTTCAAGAGACTACAGCTTCCTCCAGAACACTTACTTCTGTCTCTTATGAGACATATCACAGCATCCTTCTTAGTCAGTCAGGCTATACCATAAGATCACAACATCACAAGGCTGTCTCTGTGGCCCTGATACCCTTTTCTGCCTGGCACATGCTGACTGAGCTGACCCTTTAGGATTGTGAATTCATGGAGTGCAGCAATTAAAGAAAGAGTGTCAACACTGGGTGAGTCTTCAGAAAGGACCCTGTTCACCTGCCTCAAATTACCAAGAAGGAAACTAAGACCCAGAAGCGTGAAATGGAGGCAGAGCCTGAGCCAGGACTGGAATTCAGGTCCCACTCTGTCCAGCCAGAAACTACTTGGCAGAGATCCACAGTAGGTCTCCAGGAAGCAGTGGGCTCAGGAGCATGAGTAGGTTGTAGTAGGCCACTGCTGGGGCCCTTTGTAGCATTTCCTAGATCCAAGAACAGAGAGGGAGTTTGGGGACATCAGCAGGGAACATGGTAGCAGGGCCACTCACCTCAAAGATAAGGAGGATGCGGGCATCACGCAGCATGCGCTCATAGGGGTAGTCCTTCATGTAGCCCGAGCCCCCGAGGATCTGCAGTGCCTCACTCACACACTGCCAGGCACCCTCAGAACTGAACACCTGCCAAAGACCCGGGGAAAGGTCAGCACAGGGTGATGGTGCCAAATCCCTTCCAAGAGAAGAGTGGGAGGCTGTGTGTGTGCAGAACTTGAGCTTTGAGATGAGACTGACCCCAAGAGGAATTTACTAGGTGACCATGGGCAAGGCCTTTGGTTTTCTGGACCACAATGACCAGCAGTGGCTCCTATCTCCACAATGCCCTTTTCATGCCTCTAGGCCCTCCTCCATTCCTTCCACACCTTATTTAAAACCCACCTAGATTTTACCTACTCCAGGAAGTGTGATCCACTTTTGCCTGGCCCAATCCACCTGCCACTCACTTCTCTGCACTTGAACAAGATGTCTGAATATCCTGCCATGTATGAGCATGATTTATCTCTCTCTGTGCACTCTGTCAGCATCCTGGGGGGTCGAGACACTGTCATGGTTAGTTGTAGGTTCAGCTAAGCTCGCAGGCACTAGTCAATGGCCTCAAAGAAGTTAAGTAAGGAGAATCCTTCTTTCAGTAAAGGAAGCAGCTCATGTCACATGGGGATCATTTGAGAAAACCTCAGGAACAGGAATGTACACTTTAGGCTTGCTCTTGGCTCAAAAGTTTTTTTCAGAATGTTTCCTACTTGTAATGTTTCAGAATCTCTGAGGACAGAAGCACTGTTTCCAGCCCTGTGGTCTGCCCATACTCAAACAGGAAACCAGGATACAGACTGGGTAAGTAACCTTTTACCTCAAACAATTTCCAGAAGGGCATTCTGATATCAAAAAGTAAAAAGGTCACCAAAGTAGAAAAAAGATATTTTTTACATTATATTTTACATTGATGTGGAGTTACAATATCTGTGTTTTCTCCTGTTGCTGTAGGCCACAAATCAGCCAGTAAAAACTTAGTGTAAGTGGTGAGCTATCCTACAAACTGATGCTCTTGGGCCCTGCTCTATGCTGCTGCTCCCCAACTCTTAGGACCCTGCCTACCCTACAGAGCTGCACACCAGGGGGTTCAGCATAAATCCTGGACCAAAACAGCTGACCTATAAACAAACGGGAAGAGGAAGATGGCAGGTAGAAGGTGTGGGTCAAAAAGGCTGCAGAGAAAGCTTTTCTGCTTCTGCCCCCTGTGCCAGCTCTGGTTGTGCTGGGATTACCTTCACCATGGCTGCCTCAATGGAGCAATCGGGAAACCCAGGTTGGTCCAGCATCCCTGCAGTGAGGTAGGACATACTTTCCATCACATAAGCTTTCTGAGCCATCAGAGCAAACTTTTCCTGGAGTATTTGGGAAAACACAATCAACAAGCAATTTGTATGTGCTGAGTCCCAAATCTGCCAACCAGGAGAGAAGCTAATTAAATTAGAAGCCTGGCTGCCCCAAAGAACCAAATCCAGCCTTAATAAAAGGGACCTATAGCAACAGTGTTCTTCCCACATCACCAAGCAGGAGGCACGAGTAGAGATCAGCAACAGAGAACACTTTTCATGTCCACACAGTGAAATCACAGCTGTCAGTACCTGAATTAACCCAAATTCACTGAGATTCCTACTGAACTGCTTCCTCATGCAGGCATATTCAGCGGTCAATTCTGAAGAAGAGCAGAGTTGTTAAAAAGAACCAGAACATTTCAGATTATCTGAAAATGATTTTCTAAGGCCTTAACTATTATCCTTTAAATGCCTGCAGAAAACACTGAGGACCATGGCTGCTGAGATCAGAATGCCAGAGCCCCAACTTTTCTAGCACCCTTGGGTCAGAGGCAGGATACCTGTTCCTCAGGGGGCCTGCAGGCAGCGAGCAGGAGCAAAAGCACAGAGTTCTGAGTTAGACACAGTTCTGAGTTCTGGTCCTGTTCTTACCAGTGGGGGGCCTGAGCCAAGAGCTCCACCTCCCTGGTGGTACACCTCACAGAGTTGCTGCAAACATACAAGGAGACGGAAGCTGGAAGGCGCCTAGCACAAAGCTAGGTGCACAGAGCATCCTAGACAAAGGTGGGAGTGGACCCACCTCCATCACAGATACTCAACCAAAGCAGGAGGGGCAGCCTGATTTCAAAGCTCAGGCCTGGGGCCTCAAGGTGCATAGTTGTGGACAGTTTTGAGAGCCCCTGGGAACATGTCAGACTCCCACTCTGGCATCAGCTCCCCTAGCTTTGCCTGAAGCCTGTTTTCCAAATGTTTCCACCAGTGTGACCATCACTAACTGGTCCCTAGAGTGAGTCCCCTTATCCACATTTCTGGGTTATGGGCTCTCATCAGAGGTTCTGTCTCTTTGGGAGAGGGGAGGCTGATGATAAAGATCCATGAAGCTTTTGCACTGAGTTTTCTAGATGGGGAAGTGGAGGCCATGCAAGCAGCACAGCAAATTGAGAAGAGTCCTGAGCTTGAGGGCTGACAGCTTTGGACCTTGGTCAAGGTACATGGTCTTGGGCAAATCACCTGTACTCTCTTGGCCTCAGTTTCCTCATCAATCAAATGGATGGAAGAACCCAAACCAGAGCCCCTGTATGTCCACCTTGCAGTGGACTCTGAGAGTCATAAAGCCCTCAGGGTATGTTCTCCCTGGGCACACCCTTTCCACAGTCACATCCACATAGCAAGAATAGTTACAGGATGTTTTAAGTTCACAAAGGAAAGTCTAGTATCCTGATGGAGAAGAACAAGGGAGGAATCAGGGGCTGAGGGACTTGGGTTCTAGGTCCAACCCCACTCTTCACTCTGTGTAGAGACACCCACATGAAGGGATCTTGTGAGGATGAGAACTAATGTTTTCTTGGTCCCTAACTCATGGGTGGAAGTTTACCAAGTAGCTCTGTTCTTAGTGGTCTGCCTCTAACAGAATGCCTGCTTCTCTCCTTACCCTTGTGTGTAGATAAAACTGAGCAATGTTGAAATACAAAGACTAACTTCTGGGGCAGGTGAGTATATTCTTTGCTCTAAACCAAAGCTCAGAGGCTAAACTTGAGCCAACAATTTCCCCAGGTGGCCTGGCTCGTCACCAGTCCATCCAGGGGGGAAATGGCAAACAGACCCTCCCAGGCTGTGGTGGGGGCGGCAGGGGCAACAGGGCACTGCAGACCCGAATGACCTACCGATCAGTTTCTTAAGCATCCCAGCCACAATGCTGCCCATGCTGAATTGCCCGCTATTGAGGATATTCATGGCCACCTGCAGAGAGGGCGAGAAAGGCCAAGCAAGCACATTGAAAGAGGCAGAGAAAAGAGACACAGAACACTCGTCTATTTTCCCCAGAAGAGTTCTTGAAAATAGAGGCAAGCATCTGCCTTTGGGCTGGGAGAGAGCACAGTTCTGACCCTCCAACAGGGTGGCTCTGTCACTGCTGCAGCTCTAATACCCGTGGCATCACTACCACCACACATAAGGCCACTGCACAATACTCCCAAATCATCTGCTATGCTTTTCATCCTCTGGAGAGGTAGCAGAAACTTGGACCGATAGAGAACACATTGCAAGCTGCCTGAATATTCCCAGCAAAGCTTCAGGATGAGGCACCACAATTCACAGATGAAGATGCTGAAGATCAGAGTGGTGACATGACTCTCCCTACACCTCACATTCTGGCAGGAAAGCTGTGCACTGAGATGACCCCATGACATCAGCCAGATGCCTGCAACAGTGATCTGGTGGCTTTGTCAGCATCCCTACTCTTTCTTCATCCTTTATTCTGACCCATGTGTACAGTGAGCAGCTGGGAGAGGGACAGATGCACACCCTGTTATGAGTAATGGAGGTGTCCCTGACCTACCACAGAGGCCTCAGTTGCAAACAGCCAGTGAAGCCATAGGTAGCCAATGAGGGCAGACTGAAGGAGAGGGTCCCAGCCCTGTGGAAACAGCTAAATTGAGGGTGGGGCTGGCTTCTTGGAGGAGATGGTGGACCTGGGTTTACTGTACCAGCAGGGAGGAAAAGCCCTCCAGGCAGAGGATGGACAGAGGCCCCTGACAAGCCTGAGACACGAAATCAGAGTCCCCAAAGGTAGAGTGGGGATCTGAGGACAGAAAAGAAGGCTGTGAGTTCTATGGTTTTCCCCAAAGCACAACTTCAATTGTATTGCTTTTTGCTCAATGATTGGTTATGTGTGACCCAGAAAGCATGCGGTAGTCTTTGAATTTTTGATTACCTGCTAAATAACCTGAAGGGAGAACCTCTCAAAACAGATCCTGTGGGGAAACCATCAGACCCTCAGGGCTGGGAGAAGCTGGAAACAATTGTTCAAAACTCCTAGAAATAGCCAGCCCCCACACTAGTGGGAAATCTGTCTTGGTTAAGTCATACCACAGTGTGAGATTCAAATCCACTTCTAGAAACAGATCCCAAAGCTTCCATCCCTGCTTTTTCTGGATGGTCTGAGAAACAGCTGAGTGCCCCATCACCTCTGACTTCCCAAGCTTCAGACTCCTGCATTTCAGGACACAGGATGATACTGGCCTCGTTCGATCTGCCAGGAAACTAAATTCTTTTGCCCTTATTTCTTCTCTTTTAAAAGCCAGCTCATAATTTCATGAATAAAACTCCATAGCCCCCTCAGAGTTTACTGTTAACCTCATCAAATAAAAAAAATGGAGTGAAAAAAGCAGGGTCTTATTCCCCAGTGGATCAATACCCAATAGGTAGAGTCTTATTTGAAGAGGGCCATGTGTTCAGTCTTTGTTCTGTACTTGGAGACCTCTGGCCAGCCTTTTACTATTATAATACATTTTAATTGAACAAATTAAATTCACTGTGATATTTCCATCCATATATATCATGTCTATCATCTACCCTTCTATTCTCCACCCAAATCCCTTCCCAGTCTCTAATAATTCTTATACTTTCAGGGTTTTTTATTTTAAGTTTCCACATATATGAGATAACACATGAACCTTCTCTTTCTGTGTCTATTTCACTTAACAGGATGCCCTCAGTTCAACCCATTTTCCTGCACATGACCAGATTTAATTATTCTTTATGGCTGAATAAAGTGTGTATGTATACTACATTTTCTTGGTCCATTTATCTGCAGACACTTGAGTGGATTCCATGTTAACTATTGTGAACAGTGCCACAACAGACATAGGTGTGCAGTCTTCTCTATTGTATGTGGACTTAGCTCTCTTGGGTATGTGTCCAGAAGTGGGAGATCTGGATCATATGGTCATTCTATTTTTAACTTTTTGAGGAACCTCCATACTGATTTCCACAGTTCACCAGTTTTAGCGTCTTCAAGCTTCATCACCCTCACTACCACCAAGAGTCTCCTTCTATGTTACCAGCTACATTCTATATCCTAATTTCCCCCAAAGCAAGATTCAGAACTTTCTTTCAACAGTTCCTACTTGTCAGCCTCTATATTTCTGACTGTTAATAAAATCTTACTACCATCTCAGAGGTAAAAGTCCTCATTTTTATCTCATACCAGTCCATTCAATTTTTCAGCTGGCTATTTATTTATTTATTTATTGTCTCTGTATTCCAAGTATAACATTCTTTTAAAAATTTAGGCTAACTGGCAGGAATTCCACTAGTAACAACAAAAGAACTTTAGAGATTGATTTCCATTTGCCTATTAAACAATCATTTTCCACCAATCACAGTGCAAAAAAAAAATTTAAATACAGTGTTGGGGCTGGGGATGTAGTTCCAAGATGGAGTATTTGCCTAGCTCACGTGAGAACCTGGGTTTGGTTCTTAGCACCAAAAAACCCTCCCAAACCTCCAGTGTCTTAAGGACTGAGGAACAAGGCTTCTTTACTCACAATTGGAAAGGACACATACTTGTCCCTTTCCAGGAGACACTTGGATCAAGACTATAAAAATGTTAGCTAGGCATAGTGATACATGCGTATAATTGTAGAACTTGGGAGATGGAGGCAGGAGGATTGTGAGTTTGAGGATAGCCTGGGTTACATAGCAGATCCCTGTCTCAAAAAACCAAGGGATGGGGATGTAGGTCAGTGGTAGAGCATTTGCTTAGCATGCACAAGGATGTGAGTTCAGTTCTCAGCACTGCCAGAAAAAAGTTCACATCCTCTGACTCAGTAATTTTACTGGTGGTGTTTAAACTCAGGAAAGAATTAGACAAGTGTGGGAGGATATGTTACCAGGAACCTGATGCCATTAAACACAGTGTGCATATGAAGAATGCAGTGCAGCATCAAACATTTATATTTACCAGCACAAAAAGATTGTTAGAATTTATTGATAAGTGAAACACAGGCTACAAAATGTCACACACACACAAAGTGATGTGTATTATTTAAAATACCCAGAAAGCAACAAGGGTATGAGCAATACAATCTCTTTTGGGATGGGCTTTGGGTGATTTAATTCTGTCTCCTCTATTTGCATGTACCATCTGGACCACCTTTGTAATACAGAAGCCTATGGCTGCACAACCTATTCCCTTATTTGTCCCTTCATCTGTCCATCCTTCCTCTACACTCAATGCACACCCTTGTGCCACAGAAACTTTGGCTAATGGTATCTCATCTGATTCCCTGACCCTAGGGGAGGAGGGAAAGGATGACTTTGATCTTGCTTCATGGCTGAGATGGGTAGGGTTGCCCAGGGTGAACACACTTGCCCAGGTCACCCAGTAAATTAGGGTAGGGCAACAACAACAACAAAATAAGGAGTCTCATTTAAAAATGGGCAAAGGATTTGAAAAGGTATTTCTTCAAAGACAATGCCAATAAGCACATGGAAAGATGCTGAATATGATTAATCATGTTCAAATTAAACCCACAGAGATTCTACTTCATACCTTGTAGGATGTGTACAGTTTAAAAACATGGATAGTAACAAGTGTAGATGAAAATGTGGAAAAATGGAACCTCTGTACATGGTAAAAATGGAAAATAGTTTGTTACACGTATGGTCTCCATATAACCAGCAATTCTACTACTAGATGTATACGCAAATGATTTGAAAACATATTTTCCATAGAAACACCTGAATGTTAATATTCACACAGATAAAGTGGAAACAATCCAAGTATCCATCACCTGATGGATAAACAAAATCCAGCCACAAAATGTACTGATTCATGCTACAATGTGGATAAAACTTGAAAAGTATATGATGTGAAAGAAATCACAAATGGCTTCATATTATATGATTCCATTTATATGAAATATTCAGAATCCACAAATCCACTAAGGCACAAAGTAAGATAACAGTTGCCAAAGGATGGGGGTAAGGTGGGGCTGGAAGGTATGGCATTTCCTTTCAGAGTGATAGAAATGTTCTTTTGAGGTGATGGTTACACAGCACAGTGAATACACTAAAAATGATAGACATGTATATTTTAAGATAGTAAACCATATGCGGACTATTTTTCAATAGAAAAAATAAATCTGACTTAAAGGAGGAGGAAGAAGAGGAGAAGAAAACACAAAACATTAGGGCAGGGACTCAAGACCTCTGTTGTATTCTTAGAACCTAAGATTCTTCCCACTGGCCTGTCTCTTATACCTGCTGGTGAGGGGAATCCCATCCCTTACTTAAGGCAAGGCATACCTCAAAGATGAATGAAGATCCCTCATCCTAACCATAGACCCCCTCCTTTAGGAATGAGCCAATTTTCCAGTCTCCATTGCCAATATCCCATCAAAGTCACACATTGTCACAGGTCAAGCATGGACCAAACAGAAAGTAGGACTCACATGCTATACAGGTGAAAGAAACTGCATAGCACCTCACCTTAAAGCCACCTCCAACTTCTCCAAGGACATTTTCCAGGGGTACCCTGGTGTTTTCAAAATGGACTTCACAAGCTGAAACACATGAAATTTAAGAACTTATTTGACAAATGCAAACCACTCTGCATTTGACCCTACGCAAGTGTTCATTCATTATCTGGAAGTACAGGACACAAAGGCCAAGCTCCTGTCTTTGTGGAGATCATTCTTTGGCCAGGGAGACAAACTATAAAGAGGATGATAGATATTACCATCAATGTTATTGATGAAATAAATAGGACACTAAAGAGAGACATGGGGGCTGCAGGGAATGGGTAACATTCTTATAAAGGCTAACTCAGACTTTTCTAAGGTAATATTTAGCAGAAGTTGAAAGGATAGAAGAGCCAGAGTCAGAACATCAAGTGAGGAGCGTCAGCATTTCCGAAGGCCATAAGGAAGATGGGATTCTTGGTCCTAGGTCTTCATATAACACAGCCACAGCCTTGCACTACAGAGGCAATGCCCTACCACTGGAGGGTGGACCTCCCTTTTCCTGCCACTGAGGCCAGTGCTGGCCAGTGATATGTGGCTGACCCAATGTGAACAGAAGCCTTTGAGTGCACATGCCCTGGGGTGGTAAAAAAGCACATAGGTGATCTGAACCCAAGTTATGGGCTGAGGCATTGTACCAGGACTATAAGAAAAGAAATGTTTTGTTCTGAGATGAGTTCTGAGGTGTCTCAAACAGGGCTATACTGCAGTCAGGGATCATTAGCTTCCCTTAAAGTGAGATGTGCTCCAAAGGGGAGGTCAATGTGGGTGAGATACAGCCAGAGAAGGAGATGCTGTGGGGTTAGGGAAGAGGTTGGGAAGGCATAGTGCCTTCTATATCACATTTCTATAAAACATGTTTGCATGTTCTGCTACATAAACACAGCAATTTGTACCAGAGGAAAGGATACTCAGAATCAGGAAGGTAGGGACTCAAGAGAAGCCAGGCCAGGTGTGGCAAACTGGGTCTGCTGATCTTCATTCTGCTGCAAGAGCTCAAGGGTGAAATGTGATGACATTAACTTCTAGGTCCTATTTAAGGATGAAGGACAAGAATTGTAGAACCAGGACCTCCTGCTAAAAGCTGCTGGGTGTGGGAAAAAATGTGCTTTCCTCTCTCACCTCACCTTGTGTTTCTTGACTCTCTTGGGGTCCTGCATGGTGCCTGCATGATGCTAGGGGACACCACACACCCAGACTCCAGCACAGATCAAACCCTGCAGAGCTGTTTAGCACCAGCTTGGCAGCTCCCTCCACCTCTCTCCTGTGCACATGCCAAACTTTCCTTAGCTGGAGGCCTCTGAGCAGCACCTTCATCTGCTGGCATACTCAGGGTTCTCAGGCAGCAGCACTGGTCAGAGTATTCAGACTCAGCAGGAGCTGATGATGGGGTATTGCCCCTCCCCCCAGCCCCCACTAAACACTTCACCCTCTGTACTTCTTGCTCCTGGTACCTCCACCGGATGGGCTTCACCCCCTCCCCCCCATTTCCTGTACCTGGGAAACTACAGTGCAACAAAGGAAATGAGCTTGTTCAAGGCCTCACAGCTTCCAAGTGGTAGGGCTCAGGACTCCTGACCCCCAAGTCCAAGCAGTTGGGGTGGCAAATATCACCATCCAGAAGGCAGGGTCCCAAAAGGCACATGGCCCACAGATATGCCAAGGGCTGGTGTTACGTGGTCTTCTCTGGGCTAGCCACTCCAAGATCTGAACAGATATTCAAGAGGCAGAATGTCTGAAGGACCCCATGGCCACACTAGGTGGGCTAAGAGCAACAAACAGGATACCAGTGTCACCAGCCTCCAGTGAATGGATGGCTATCAAGGATGGCAAGGGGCCTGGGCAGTTAGAAGAGGAAGCAAGAAGAAGGACATTCCAGGCAGGAAAGACATAGCATGTTTACATGGGACACCTGTCCTGCCTTCCTGGTGTCCATTACCCCAGCAAGGTTGAGAGCTCTTCTGGCCTGGTTCCCATTGAATGAGCAAAGCTGAAGGCTTAGAGAGAAGCACAGTCTATAACTGCTAAATTAGCAATCCAGTTTCCAGGAGTTCATCTGCATTGCCATGAAATCTCAACTTGATTTTGCTAAAATGCTTAACTAAAGCCACAAATATGTAAATCTCATTTTACCTTGATATTTGGACACAATGAAGGATTGGTTTCTCTTATGCTCTCTGTCACACATGCACCTGTGTATGTGCAAGCTACTTACTGTTGGAGCCCCGAATGCCTAATTTATCTTCAGGTTTCCCATTAGTGACTCCACCAAAGTCTCTTTCTACTATGAATGCTGTGATTTTGTCTTTCACCAAGCCATCAGAATCAGCCACTTCAGTCTTTACAAACACGGTAAAAATACTGGCCAGACATCCATTGGTGATCCAGACCTAAAGAAAGAAAGCAAAACATCTTTGGACACACCTCTCAACTCCATCTTTGTCTGTCACCTGTCAAACTTCAGGCCAGCCACATAAAATGTTTGGCTCTGTAGAAGCCAAGCCTATATGAACTGAGCATGGGGACTCAACCCCGGTCTCTTTAGAGCAGAGATGTTCCCCAGAAACAGGTAGCTGGGGTGGGGGTGGAGGCAGCCAGTGGCACTAAGATAGCTCAGGTTCCATCCACCACCAGACCACTGAGGACTTTCAAGAAAGAAGGGAATCCATCACCTCACAAGGTACACATATATACAAACACATATATACAATGTTTACTTGTCAATTTAAAAGTGAAAATGAAGGGAAAGGAGGAGTGAAAGGCAGAAGGAAGTGGAGAGGGAGGGGGAAAACAGACTGCTCTACAATTGCAATGATTAGGACTTCTTTCAATCTTGATACAAGAAAACTGTTAAAGGAAAAAAGACAATTGAGGAAATCTGAACATTGACCAGGTAGTAAGAAACTTATCTGTTTTTTCATATGCTAATGGTATTACAGCTTTCTCTCAGAGCTCCATGCTGAATCTTTCATAAGTGCTATCTAGAGATGGCAATGTTGACATAAGAAACATGGTGGGCCATGAGTGTGCTAACTGCTGAAGCTAGGTGTCAGGTCTGTGGAAATGTATCACACCACACTTGTGTACCTTTGTGACTTTGGGCAATGAAATTTAAACAAAACCCTAAAAGCAGTTCAAGGAGGCAGCTGGGACTACAGAAAAGTTGGAGACTCTGAAGCCAGAACACCTTGCTCCAGTTCTGTTTCTGCCACTGAAGGTACACAGGCCTTCAGCCTGAGCCCCAGATTCTTTTTCTGACAAAGGAGCAGCATCCATGCTCTGCCTGGGTTAGGGAATGATGTGCAGACCCTTTATAATTCCCAGTGTGTGGAAAGTGGTTGCATAGTGGCTATAGATTGTGACTGAGACGGCAGGGCAATGAGGACGTGGCTATACCTTGGAGCCATTGAGGATGTAGTGCTTCTTATCTTCACTTAACGTGGCTTTGGTCTGGATGGAGGCAGCATCACTCCCTCTGCAGAGATAGAGAGATGTAGTCGAGGAACGATAATATTGGGAATAAGGAAGAGTGGACTTGAGGGGCTGTAAATGGAAGTTTTTATATTTGGATACAGGAGTTAGCAAACTTTTAAAATACAGTGTCAGACAATAGACAATATTCAGCTTTCTGAGTTACATGATGTCTGTCAAACCTCAACTCTGCCAACAGAACATAAAAGCAGCTGCAGTCTGTAAACAGATGGGCAAGTTCCAATACAAATTTCTGATGGCAGGCTGGATTTGGCTCATCCTGCTTCAACACAGCAGGTAAAAAAGTGGCAATAAAAACAAGTTGGGCTTAGGTTTCAACATGAGAATGTGGGCTGCTGTGAGTAGGTTGGGCCACACCAGGATGGTGACTATTCCAGATTGCAGAGTGAAGGGAAACAGGATTAAGTGAGGTTCCAGGGACAGACTTGTCATCAGAAGCCCCAAGCTCTGACTGGCTCTGCTCCTTCTAGCTGTGTGACCTCTGGCTAATAATCACACCTCATGGAACCTTAGCTCCCAATCTGGAGATGAACAGCTCCTACACCCTATCCTCTGAATGCAATCCCTGATGTCAAGGGGGTTGAACCACAAAACATTGACTTAGTAGATGCTGTCAGGTATGTTATTTCATCTGTAAGTCTCACTGGGATAGAGAATTAAGACTGAGAGAAGAGAACTGGCAAGAATGATTATTGAGTTGATTCTCTGGAAGGTTTTAGGTAGGGAGGAAATACAAGCCAGATACTCTGCACAGACAACAGCATGGAAGATGACATTTAGAGGGGAGGGGCAGACCTGGTTGGCTCTGTGAGGCAGAAGGCTGCAATGTGTTCCCGAGATGCCAGTTTGGGCAGGTATTTGGATTTCTGCTCCTCATTACCAAACAAGATGATTCCCTAAATGAAACACACACAAACCAAGTTAAGCTGCAAGAAGAGTGTGAGATGTACTTGTGAGACATCCCCTTCTGAGAACAATATTTACTTCCTTCAAGAGGAGACAACACAAGCCCAGAGCTGACATGGGAGCCAGGCTGCTAAGGGGAGCACCCCATGGCACATGCACCAATGTGGTAGCAATATAACCAGCAGAGCTGTGAAATCAGCACCTGAGATTTTAATCCCGACTCCTTCACTGTCTGGCTGGGTAGCCTTGGGCTAGAACTGTCCCTTCTCTGAGTCTTCAACTTGTGATTTGTAAGCCACAGACTCCCCCCTTTTCCCACTGGCAGAGTGGTCTGGATGATGTGAAGACATGGAAATGCTGAAAACATGCCCAGCACAGAGAAGGTGTGCAGTCAGTGTCTAAGCTGTCCCCCCATGCTTTGCTAAATGACTGCAGTGTGGACTCCTGCTTAAGGGTTGGGAGCTAGGCACAGGACTCATTCAGCTTTTTGTTGTCTACAGTGAGCAGCTATGACCTGAGTAATGTGATTCCACTGAGAACTGTGTGCCCTTGGACCTGTCCCACCATGCTCTGAGTCCAGTGGGGTGATGAAGGCATGTGTACAAACAGCAGGGGACAGCTCAGGAGGAGGCTCACATCCAGGAGTGGCATCTGACCTGGGTCTTGAAAGATGGGTTGAAGGTGATAGAGATAGTAGATTCAATGGGAAGGCATGAGCCAAGGGCCTCATGTTGGCTAAATGGAGGCCATATGTGCAGGGACTACAAGTCACATGTTGTAGCCAGTGAGTGAAATGGAGGGCAAGGTGGCAAGAACAGAGGGCTTGTTCTCCTTCAAGACCCTGAGCTATCAAAACCAACTCATTTCTGATAGAAGTAAGCGAGCCCCTGCCTCCTCCAGAAAGCCCCGAATAGGAATCCCAGATACGTGACCTTGAGACCAATAGCCTGATGTGCTGCCAGGGTCACAGTGATAGACCCATCCAGGCTGATGTTCTCCCCTAGCCGAGCATACATAGTGTTGGAGAGGCCCAGGCCGCCTAGGAGAGACAGATCAGCATTAGTCACAGTCCAGCCTGATTCCTCCCATTGAGGCAAATGACTTCACTGTTTTTTCTTTTTCCCTAAATATAAAGTAAGAACTGATCACCATTTTTAAAAAACTCATAATATGGAAAGGTACAAGGAAAACAAAAATTGTCCATATTATTATCACTCAGAATGAGCATTTCTGTGTATCTTTTCAGACCTATTTTGCACATAGAAACATTTGCAGCTCTGTATTTTTAATGTAGACACCTATACACACAATGAATCACTGAAGATTGTGTGACTGCCTTCTACCAGATGTGGATGTTTAGTGTTCCACTGCCTATCATCTGCTGGACTCCAGGACAGGCCTTATCTGCTGCAACACTCTAACACTTTGGGATGGATCATTCTCTGCCCTGGGGTTGTCCTATGAACTGTAGGAAATTTAGCAGCCTTCACGGCCTCTATCCAGTAGATGCCAGCAGCAAACCTCCCCATCTCCACAGTTTTCACAATCAAAAGTATCTCTAGCATTGCCATATAATCCCTAAGGGGCAAAATTGCTCCTCACTGGGAATCACTGCTCTAGGAGTAAAAGACAAAAGGGTTAAAAACAGAAAAATTAAAATTCCATTGAACTTAAGTAGTGGGCATTTAATCTTCAACTTCCAAAAGTAGCAGGGTGGCTTTATTAAAGTTCACTTTACAGATCACAAATTGAGGTTTAAGGTAATCAGGCCAACAAATATCAGTTGGCCATGACCTCAGGGTGCAGGTGCACAGCCCACTTGCAGAGTGTGCCATCCACATACATACCAAGAGAAAAAGTCATGCTTGGGGGAATTTGGACAGCAATCTCACAGGGACAGCTAGCATGTGCAAAGGAGTGTTGGTGGCGGAGGGACTCAGAAGCAGGGAGGAGCCACACATGGCAGGCCTTGGACAGCAGGCAGGGACTAAGGGAGGAGATCCAGGCCTGGTCTGCAGAAACACCTTAGCTTTCCAGCACAATAGTCTTCACCTTGCCTTTAGAATTCTCTAGCATGAAAAATTTTCCCATAATCTTGTGGGCATGAACATAAGGTTGCTGTTATCTTATTTCTTACTTTTTTTAATAGATTCAAAGGGGGTCACCTCAGAAAGAAAGAATGAAAATGAGAGTGCCTGTTGCCTTATTTTTTTTAAACTGATGAGAAGCAAACCAACCACCACTCTCCCAATCTTTCCTCACTTGCTTTCTACTCTAATATTTGGCATTCACTGTGGCCAGCTGCATGTGATAGCAACATGTGTTGCTTGGGAGTCACAACCCTGATTCCAGGGATAGCTGGGGGAGCCCAGTCTCTCCTACAGCCTCACATGGAGGCAGAGTGGGCTACTTTTGTTAAGAAATAGAGGGTGTCTGATGACTCGTGCTTCCTACCACTGGGCCGGCAGCATTACTTCAGGTCTTCTGTAAAGATAGGGTAAATTCGTTCTAATAGTTGGTAATGTGATAAGAGGAATTTCATAGGATGACAAGGAAGTTACATGATTTAACACCGTAAAACACTACAAGAAACAAACATCCAAATGAAACCGGGCATCATGCTAATTTGTCCTTCATTTTCATCTCTGTCTCAGCTTGGGCCAGCTCTAGGATAGGTATTAGAAGGAATTTATTCTACAAACTTGAGGGTTCATCTTTCATTGCAGAAGGAAGGAAGGACATACTTTAATCTCTGGAGACAAGCCAGGCAGGGACAGAACATCAAGAAGATCTGACTGCTATGGTTTGAAAAATGCTCAGAACAAATACATCTTCAAACGACCAGCTCACAGCCAGGAAATATGCCCAACCCTCACAGGGCTACCAACTGCTAATTCCCCTTCACCTCAAGATCCTTAGCTGATCTTACCTGGAGGCAGCTTCTGCAAACTCTCAGAGGACAGGCAGGTTAAGGTTGTTTTGCCTACAGCCACAAAAATTTTTATCTAGGTTTTGCGCCTAGACTGTAGATATACTGCATTTAAAGGCCACCCTCCCTGAACAGCATAAATATGTAAAGCTTACTAATGAGCCAGACCAGGTGGGCTGTTGCCCTGACCTACCATAGTCTTCTGGGACCTGTATCCCAAAAGTCCCAGGTTCTTCAGCTTCTCTAAAGTGTCATCTGGAATTTTTCCTTCCTGGTCAATTTTTCGAGAGTCCACTGAAAGGAGGAATATTTTGATTAAACAAAAATATAAGTAAGCTATATTCATACAAATAAAAGCATACAGAATGATTTTCATATAGCATAAAATCCCAGTATCAGACAGTGTCTGGGCCTAGATCTATCTAGAGTTCAGAAGCAATACACCTTCACCACAGTCCACAGGTTCTGAGAACAATTTACTCAACAACTCATTCATTCATTCAACATTCATGCTTACTAGAGTGAAACTGAACAAACACTAGCATCAGGTTGGTAACTGTACAGTTCCTATGCATTAAGGTAATTAAAACCACTTTTGAATGCTAAGAAACATCATCATTATTATAAAGTATGAAAGTCTTTGTAGCATACACTTGGGAATATACAAGTCACTAGGGAGAACTATGGGTTCCCCAAATGCAACCCAAACCCCTCATTTTAAATTCTTTTACAAATTTATTGATGTATATAATTGGCACACAATAATCTTGCACATATTTATAGCATGTAATTCTGATGTGTCATCTGTGAAACCATCATGATTGTGAAGAAAACACTTCCTTTTCCCCCAAAGATCTCTCCTGCCTCTCTGTTATCAACTTTCTGTCCACTTCCATCTCCAGGTACCCATGAGTCTCTCTTTAATCTTTAGATTTATTTGCATTTGGTTTTAGATAAATAGATTCATAGACCACGTTTTTCTCTTGTCTGAATTCTTTTGCTCACTGTAATGATTCTGAGATTCATCCACGTTTTTGCATATATACTTCATTCCTCAGTGTTGTTCACTATTTCAGTACATAGCCATACAAATGTTTATTCAAATTTCATATACATTATAAACCCACAGAGCCTGGAAACTCAAACAAGTTCAAGCAAAAGCAATGTGCAAGAAACCACATCAACACACACACTAATCAGTTCCTCTAAAACCACTTAAAAGCAGTTGGGGATGAAGAAACATGATGTACAAAGGAACAGAGACAAAAATGGCAGCAGATATCTTATAAGAAGCCATGTGAAGCTAGGAGAGCATGGAGCAACATCACTAAAGGGCAGAGACAAAAATGTTTTCAATATAAACCTTTTCTGATGGAAGACATTCCCAGCCAGTGAGATGTTCCTTCCCTACAAAGCTATAGGACATGTAATGTGAAAGGAAGTCTTCCTCATGGAAGAGTGATGGTACCAAAAGAAAACCTGATTCTACATGAGAATGAAGACCACTAGAAACAGTAGCTAAATGGGTAACCATAAAACCACGGTTTCTTATTTCTCAAATTTAAAGACAAATAATGTCATGAGAAAAATGTTCTGGAAATGGATGGTAGGGATGGTTGCATAACACTGTGAATATATTTAATGGCATGAAATTATACACTTAAAGAGCTCTAATGGTAAATTTTATTATGCATATTTTATCATAATAAAAAAGAAAAACAATGGCAAGATATTGTTGGGTTTATAATGAAATAAAATACATGAAACAGCAGCACACAGGCTGTAAAGGCAGACATATAGTGTTCTCATGTGAAGGTAGGATTTGATACAACTTACACTATAAAATCCAACCACTTAAAAAACAAAAGAGACAGAACAACAATAAGCCAACAAAAGTGATAAAATGCAATAATAAAATACTTCAAAAAGAAAAACAAGCAAGAGTGCACAAAGAACAGACAAGACAAAACAAATTAGAAGACTGATTTAAATGCAATTAAATCAATAGTCATATTAAACTGACCATAACAATCAATTAAAATGCAGTCTCTTAGATGGAATTAAAAAGAGACAACATTCAGCTGGGCATGGTGGTACACATCTATAATCTCAGCTATTTAGGAGGTGAGGCAGGAGGATCTTGAATTCAAAGCTAGCCTGGGCAAAGGGAATAGTAAGCCCCCGTCTGAAAACAAAAGGGCTGGGGGCATAGCTCAAGTGCCACAGTGTTAACTAGCATGCACAAGACCCTGTGTTCAATCCCCAATACTGCAAAAACAAAAGGGGTGGGGGCAATACTTCAAGTATGACACCTACAAAAAACCCAATTTATTACTTTTATTTTAAACCTTTTATTTTGAAATACCTTTCTGTACAAGAAAAGGTGCAAAAAAATTATAAAGTTCCTATAAACCCTTCACCTTTCATTACTGATTGAATGAGTCCCCCTAAAGGCTCAGGTAGGTGTTGAAGGCATGACTTCCAATGTAGCAATGTTCAGAGCTGGGCTTTGGGAAAGTGATTGGATCATGAGGGCAATGCCTTTATCAATGGATGAATAAATAGTTTGATGGCATTACTGGAGGGTGGTAAAAAGTAAAAGGTAGGACATAGTTGGAGGAAGTAGGTCCCTAGGGGCATGATCTGGAAGGGCCTATCTTGTCCCTGTCCCCTTCTTTCTCTTTCTGCTTCTTGGCTTCCATGAGATGAGCCACAAGCTTCTGCCACCATGATATTCTACTTCCCTCAATCTTGAAGCAATGGATGCAGCAAATCTTGGATTGAGCCAAAATAAATACTTCTTCCTTTAAAACTGTTTTTCTGGGATATGTCAAGGCAATGAAAAGTCTGACTAACATACCTGGCTTCAACTGACAGAACCTAACAGAGCCATGGTAAAATTATCTAAAAAATGAACATTCATACAGCAATGCTAACTACACTGCAAAATACACTTGAACTTATCCATTTGTCCATTAATGTCCTTTTCTGTGCCGGGATCCATTCCAGGACCACACATCATATTTAGTTGTCTGTGACTGTTCTTCAGTTTTTCTTTGTCTTTCATGACTGACCCTTTGGAAGCCCTGGTTAGTTCCTTTGTGCAAGGCTCCTCAAATTGGGTCTGTCTTATGATCTCTTATGATTAGGTTGATATGATTCATTTTTTGGCAACAACACCACGGAGACAATGTGCCCTTCCCCAGGTTTCACATTAGGAGGTATCATGATGTCACTTAGTACTACTACCAGTGATGTTACTCTTCATCTCTTGTTTATGGTGGTATTTGCTGGGATTTTCCACAATAAGTTACTATTTCCCCCTCTGTAACTAGCAAATATATAGGGAGTTACTTGGAGACTACCTAAATTAATTGTTTTTCTTCAAACTTTCACTCTTCTAACTTGGCACCCAATAGAGGAAATCTGCCTGTAATGATTTTTATTGTAGTGCTTGCTTAATAGTAACTTTTTATTTCTACGAATTTTTTCCATACTTACTAAGTAGACAGGAAATTCTCTTTGAACATTACAGTACAAAATATCAAAAGATGAAGAAGAACACTGGGCGTGATATGGCAGTGCATACTTAGAATTCTAGTACTTGCAAGGCTGAGGCAGGAGGATGAGAGTTTGAGGCTAGCCTGGGTGGTATGTTGAGACCATGTCTCAACACAAAACAAAAGAACAACAACAACCAAAAAGCCCAAACCAAATAAAGAAAAACATCAGAAAATTAAACTACAGAGCAATATTCTTTAGGACCACAGATGTGAAAATTCTTAAAACTTTAATCAGCTGAATCCAACAATATAAAAAAAAAACCACAATGACCATGTAGGAATTATCCTGGGAATCTAAGGGCAGATCAGTGCTTAAAAACCAATCAAAATCTGGGTATGGTGGCACAAGTCTGCAAACCCAGTGCTCTCAAGAGGATGCTAAGTTTGTCTCCAGTTTGGACTACATAGGCAAGACCCTGTTTCCAAAAATAAATTAATTAATTAAATAAAAAATTAAAAAAGAAACAAAAAAATAAAAACCACATGTTCGCTGTGTCAACAAAGGAAAAAAACAGTTATCTTAATAGATGTGGAAAAAGCATCAGACAAAATTTGTTACCATTTACAACAAAAACTCAGCACACAAGAAATAATTCTAATACCCTGACAAAGAGCATGTATAAATCTACAAAAACCCTACAGTTAACATCAAATAGAATGGTAAAAGACTGAATGTGTACTAAGACAAAGAAGAAAACAAGGTCTGCTCAACATTATTCTGGAAATTCTACCCAGTGCAATACAGCAAAGACAAAAAATGTCAGACTGGAAAGAAAGAACTAGAACTCTGCCTATCACCAACACCATGTGGAAAATCCCACGGGATCTAGGAAAAAAAAGCTCCTAAAAGTAATAAATGAGTTTAATGAGGCTATAGGATACAAGGTCTATAACAAAAATTAACTATATTCATTGAACAGGATATAAAGAGGGAAAATAAATACATTAAAAGTCTTCAACATTATTAGCCATTAGGGAAATGCAATTTAAAACATCAATGACACATCAATCCACATCTTTCAGAATGGCTTAAATAAAAATAGTAGCAACACCAAATCCTAGTGCAAAGGCAAAGAAATCGGGTTACTTATCTAATACTGGTGGGAAATCAGGTTACTTATTTACTATGGGTGATACTTTCTTAAAAAAGTTAATCAAAACTATCATAGAACTCACCAGTGGCACACTTGGGCATTTATACAAGAGGAATGAAAAAAAATACAAGAGGAATGAAAACATAAATTCACATAAAAATCTGTACACAAATAAGCATAACAGTTTTATAAGTGCCTCCAAACTGGAAATAACTTCAAAATACTTTAATGTATAGCCAACAAAGTGTGGCACACCCATACCATAGAATGCTGCTGGAAAATAAAAAGCAAAAAAAGTACTGATGCATGTAGCAACAGGTATGGAGAATGATGCTGTGTGAAAAGAGCTAATTAAAAGTTTGCATATGAGGCCCAGAAACACAGCTCAAGTAGTATTGCACCTGCCTAGAAAGAGCAAGGCCCTAAGCTGAAGTACCAGTACCACCCCCTCAACCACATGCAATAAACATTCTTAGCTGTAAATGGTAGCACACACCTGCAATCCCAGTACTTAGTGGTTAAGACAGGATGACCATGAGTTCCACAAGGATACAAAAGTTTTAGTATGTTTACACAAAGAACCACTACTCAGCACTAAAAAGGAAGGGACTATTGGTACATAGAAACTCAAAATTATGCCAAAGCTGGACAAAAGCACATATAATGTATGGCTCTGTTTAAATAAAATTCAGGAAATTCAAACTACTGTAAATGGGAGAAAGCATATGAGCAGTTGCCTGGAGCAGGGAGGGAGTGAAAATGGGGGAAGGAAACTTCTGGTTGTGTTGATGGTTTTTCAGGTTACAAGTGTACAATTATAGTATTACAATTCTATTACAATTTACTGTAAATCAATTAAACCTGCAGAAAGCTTAGGGGAAGAAAAGCTGACAAATCACATAGTACAGGTTTAAATAAAAGACCAAGGCACTAAGGAAATAAAACAGATTAGAGCAGTAAGATAACCAAAACAAAAACAGATACATTATTTCTAAATAACAAAATATACTTATGTACAACTAAGCCACTTTGAAAACTAGCAACATAGTAATACTTAATGATTTACAGCAGCCATTTTCAGAGTGTGTCTTGGGACACTGGAGTAGCTTCTAGGGGTCCACAAGGTCAAGGTTATTTTATATTAATGGTAAGATGCTATCTGTCTTTCTAATTCTAATTCTCTCAAGAGTGTGCAGTGGGACTTTTCTGAAAGCTACTCGATATAAATCAAACATTAAATGCAGAAATGGATAGGAGAATCAGCTATCTTTTAAAAGATTTGCAAAACTAAAAAATGAGCCACTCTCATTAATTTATTTTAAAATAGTTTCGTTAAAATATAGTTTAAGATGTAACAGGTTTACATTATTTTTAAATAAAGTAATAAATGAATAAATGTTTTTTAGATTTTTTTAGTTTAATATTTGACAGGGTAAATAATAATAGACAACACATACCCATATAAACAAACACTCTCTGAGACCCTCAGTGTTGGAGGACAGCTATCTATCTAGTATTGTGGACCCTCCATTGGGCCCCTTGTAGCAAGGGCAGTTCTTCCAACTGTGGGCTGAGATGCTGCTGGTCCAAAGACTGTGTCTAGTTCCTAAAACACTTAGTACAGAGATCCACACTCAACCTTCGAAATATGTACAGCATCTTATGCAGCTATAGGGCTTGGACTGCCTATGTCCTTGGCTTCTTTCATCTAATTTTTCTACTCTGTGTTTTCCTTCCTTGCAATATTGGCATTTTAATTTAGGGCCCTGTGGGTATCTATCACTTGAGCCATGCCCTCAGCCCTTTTTTGCTTTAGTTTTTGGATAGAGTCTTGCATATTTTTCCCCTGGGCTGGGCAAAGACCACAATCTAGTTATACCTTGGGCACACACCATCACACACAGTTTGTTTGTTGAGATGGGTTCTTGGTAACTTTTTGCCTGGGCTTGGTGGAATTGCAATCCTCCCAATCTCCACCTCCTGAGTAGCTGGGATTTCAGATGTGTGTAATCACACCCAGACACAGTTATTTATTTTTATTGTATTTTACTCAAGTGTTGGTCTGCAACAGCTTGAAAACATTCAAAAGTGATTTTTCACCATGGGGACATGAAGAAGCACTGAACTAGATGTTTTTAAATTAAGTAGTAATTGGGATGATCCCTGAAGATTAATATTATAAATATAAACTATTTTTACCTCATTAATGATTTCTATATATACTGGTTGTAATATAAATATCACTGTAATCACAGTTACAGTGGAAATGGGCAATGACAAAGAAAACTATACATACCCTCTTCAGTGAAGAATTTTTCCACGGGTCCCACAAACTGATTGATTTCATTAAGTTCATCTTGGCTAACCTCTGGAAACGGGAAAACGCCTTTCTAAAAATGACAAACATTTAGAAAAAATTAAAATTCAAGCAACCTCTCATCATAATACTGGTCAAAAGAGAAGGAAAAAGATGTGCTAATCTAGCCAGCAAGATGTCACCCCCAGGAGAAGGAAAGGCAAACCTTTCAGATGCTTCAGATACAGGACTCAGGTGTGGGACACCATCTCCTGTATCCATCATCCTCCTATGCAGACAAGTTGATTCCTTATTTTTACCAGCTTCTTTATCAATAAGTGACAAGGACAGTCCCATCAGCAGGAAGGCCAGAACTCACATTTAGACACTCTGGGTCTAGTCCTTGTTTGCTGTTTACTAATTTGAGGCCATCAGCAAATCCCATCACCTCTTAGCACTTCATTTTCTTACCCACAATACAAAAGGTCACATTTACTTCGGTTCCTTGTGAGAACCATGGAGGACAGTGGGTGTGAAAGCTCTTCACTTAAATGGGTAACTCTGTATTAGGTACTGTGTTGAGTTCAAAATGCTGCCAATGATGAAGGCAGACTATGGTCACCAAGTCTGTCCCCTCAAGCTGTTGACACTGGCTCCCTGTGCTAAGCATGTGAGGGATGGGACACCACTGTCTCTTTTGTCATCAACATCAGCTCCATGTGCTGATCATATGAAGGACAGGGTCACCAATGTCCCTCTGATACTGATATCAGCTCCCTGTGCTGAGCATATGAGGGAGTAGGGTCATGGGTGGCTTTGGAAACAAGGTTGCTGAGCACAATGGGTCACAAGCTTCCAGCCCCAGGAGCCCCGCCTCTCCCCTTTGCCCTTCTCACAAAAGTCACAGGAAGGTCTTCAGAGGACGCCTCAACCTTCCCCCAGCTTTTGTGCCTTTACCCAGCCACTTGATCTCCCCACTCCAGTAATATGTCCAGATCTGTTTGCTTCTCTCTGGCCCCAGGACTACAGGCTGATAGGTGGGTCTTTATCTAAGAGATAGCAGACCTAAAGGAATCTGCTTCCAACCATCCGCACCCTATTGTCAGGTAGTCTAGAAAGAAACACAACGATCCCCTTAGAACAATGGCACCCTCCTCCTTGAATACATAAAGGCTCAACCTAGCCTAGCACAATCGCCTCCATAGCCTCATTGGTCCCTTGACCTTGGGCAATGAATGGGCTGTGTGAGAGGAAGGGGATTCTGGTACCAGTGGGTAGGCCAGACAAAGAGACATTCTGGCATTGATTAAAGCTACTGATGTAACTCACCCCACTCAACCTCTAACTTGTCCCAGTAGCAGTCTCAGGGGCACTCCCATGAACAGCTCAGGTGCAGATGTAGACAATTTATCAACCACTGGCTTTGATAACCTGAAGTTCTCTTTCTATTTTAAGATTCCAAGTATCACTGCCAGAGTACTGCTCAAGACCAGAAATGCTTTGAGAGCTGGTATTAGCCCGATCTAGAGTAGTAGCAGTGAAGCTGCCTAAAGGTGGTAAGATTTCCAATATAACCTTAAGGCAGAGAACAGTGGCTTTTCTGTTGGATTAAACATGGACTATAAGAAAAAGAGGAATCAAAGGTGATACCAGGAGACTGGGCTAAACAAGTAAAACCACATGGCTACCATTACTTAAAGAAGGTTGTGGGAAGGATTGGGTAGAGACCAGAAGCAAATTTCCAGATGTGCTAATTAGAAATGCCTATTAGACATCTAAGTGAAGCTTATAAGCAGAAAGGTAGATAGTGTGGTGGCACAGGCCTGAAATCTCAGCACTGAGGCAGGAGGGTCACAAGTTCTAGGTCAACCTGGGCTACAGAGCAAGACCCTGTCTTGAAACAAAAACAAAACACCTGTTTCTCCAACTGAACTAGTGAGAAATGCTGGTCAATGTCTAGAGGTCAATAAGCTAAGAAGGAGTCAGCAAAGGGGACTAAGAGGGAATGGTTTTTCAGAGACCATGTGACTAAAATGTGTTAAAGAGCCTGCAGTGCTGACTCACTGATGGGTCAAATAGGAGGACTGAGAAAGAGACCTTTACATTTGACCAACACCAAGGTGATTACTAGCTTTCATGACTGTTAGGGAGAGAGCCTGATCAATGAGTTCAAAATACAGTAGAAGAAACAACTGATGTAGATCAGAAAGGAAGGAATTTCCCTTGAGTTGGGAGAAGGATGGTGGGCAATAACCAGATTGGCCTTTATGAGAATGGGGAATTCATCCCTTGTAAGGTAGATGATGCAGGCTCACCTGTGGGGAGACAAGTAACAGAGGGAGTGGAAGTTCTCATCTGGCTGCACTGATGCTCTCAGTGAAATGGGCAGCAAAGCTGACAGTTGAGAGTGAGGGTGGGGTAGGTGAGGCCAGAGGCTTAAAGACTGGAGTTCTTCCTTCACCAGGCTGCTGGGAGGCATGAGGCCCCAGCATACAATCCAGGTTCTGGGGAAAATGGTTCCCACACTTAAAAGTTCCAGCTCTGAACGTTCTAACATGGCAAACCATTCTTAGTCTGACTCTTTTGCATCAGAAATGCTGCTTAAAGGTGACAAATGTTCTAAAAAGATGCCAGGAAACAACTCCTTTCACAATACAGGATTAGTCTACCTTTGGCCATGCTGAAAGGAAGGACAAGTACTGTGATTACTCCTACTTTGTAGACTAAAGCAGAGAAGTGATTAGTACAAGGTCATAAAGTAGTAAGTACTGAAGCCAGCACTATCTCTTTGGCTGTACAGTACAGAAGAATTTCCATACACTGTATTTCATTGGAGCTCCACAACATATGACTGTGGTAGGCACATCACTAGCTCCATTTTGAGGCTGAAAGAACTGAAGCTCGAAGTCATAAGGCCACGGTGAGATCCAAGTATTCTAAGAGTGTGGTGAGTGCTTTATAGCAAAGGGGTTGCTGCTGGCTGGGTTCTGGGATCTCCGAAAGAGTTAGTGGAAAGGAATGTTGGAGCCAGATTTCTGAAGAACACAACAGCAGGATGAAGCTCCAGTAGGAAGTCCAGGAGCCCCTGGAAGGTGCCAGAGGAGCGGCATGGACTGAGGTGCGTTCAGGAATCAGAGGACATTTCCATGCCAGAACAGCCAGGTTGAGGGTGGTTTAGTAATCGCCTCCTGATTTCTCAAACTGCCTTGACAAGAAATACCTGCAAGCCTGGCGTGGTGGTGTACACCTGTGATCTTCAACAGTCGGGAGGCTGAGGCCAGTCTGGGCTACACAGCGAGTCTGTCTCCGCCCCCCACACCCCCCAAAAAAGAAAGAAAAAACGAGGAAACAGCGGCGACACTGTCAAGCCACATCTCCCTTGCTCTGAAAAGGTCCTCACTTTTCCGGAGCGGGCTCCAGTGGGATCAGGAATCTGGAGCTTTCCCGGGCTTGTTTGGGTAGTAGGTATATGTAGGAGGGTCAGGCTGGCCCAGGCAAAAAGGGATACCCTATTTGAAGAATACTTAATGCAAAAATGTTACAGGTGTTGATTAAGTGGTATAGCACCTGCCTATCAAGTAAAATTCCCTGATTTCAAACACCCAGTATTTCTTCCCTCAAAATAAATTGTTAAGAGAGAAAAGAGAGTTAACAAATTAAAGAACAGGTAGACACACTAATAGCTAATGACATAGAAGATGCAGCTGTTCTTTACATGAAGCAGTCATTAAATAAACATTGAAAACAGGTCAGTTACCCATGCAAAGGACTGGTATCAATTTAAGTAAGAAACACATCTATTAACATTCAAGGATCTTATAGCTGGAAGGTTTTAGACCATGTAGGGATAAATATGGAAACAGTAAACTGTGTTCAATGATTAACCCCACACATGATATTATAGGATGGGGGTTTATAGCATACTAGGCAGGCCATGTGGTAATAGGTTAAAATATGGACTAAAACTGAGATCATTCCTCTTCTTCATGAAATGGTCATTATACCAAGTTCATGGCTGCCTATGTAGCAGACCAATTAATGCAGAACTGATAAAAAAGTGATTACGATTCTTGTGTTTGCATAGGTGTTGATGCATGCCCACAGCCAAGGTAGTATTCCCTTAAAATACTCCCTGCAAGAATGGCAATAAGTCTATATGCTCTAATTTCTGCATATTCTATTACAAAGTATGCCTGTGGATCAAATTAAAACAAAACAAACACAAGAATACTGCATCCCTTTTCTATTGCTGCCCTAACAAATTGTTACATACTTAGTATCTGAGAAAGACTACATTTATTAACTTAATTTATTCTCCTGGTGCTTGGATTCACTCTGCCTTCCTCTTCTGGTTCTAGGACATCTGTGGCTACTTTGGCCCCATCCAGGTCAATGTTCCATTTGTAGCATCCTCAGTAAGGGCATCTTTAGGGTCCATCAGTCCTCCTTCTATGCAGATGCAGCATTAATTCCCCAGAGTGAAAATCTGTAGAAAGAAAGGTAATTGTACCACTGGACATAGATTAAATAATGGAAGACTTTAGCTTGCTACAGAGTCATGTTTTTCTTTTCATAGAAAAGAATCAATCATAGGCTTCTAGGAAAATAATAAAAGCAAAGTGTTTATTATCCTTACCAAGTGAGAGAGTAGCAAATTTGGTTCAAGGAAGTTTCCAGAAATAATAGTAATATAATTCTTGGGATTCTGGGACCCACATAAGGAGTTGATTCAGTTTTGGTGTGCAGCAAGTGAGAACAGGTAATTTTTTTTTTTTGGAGGCTTGATCTTGAGAATTGCATTGAAAATTTTAAGCCTGATCTTATGATTACTTGTAAATCCAGTGCATCTTGTATAATGGGGGAGGATGAATGCATGAACAGAGCCAAGATAGAATGGAATCAGAGCAAGAGGGAAGGAAACCCCACCCCATCTCTTCACTCCAATTTCCCTAACACAGATCAAGCCTGTTTCAGGAGAAATAAAGGAGATGCATTGTATCAAGTTAGAGGTTGAATTTTTGAACTGGATTAGACTCTGAATAATTGAATGTGACTACTGAAAATGTATGGAAATTTCATAGGATGTAATTTAGG